CAATGAGCCAAAACATTCGCAAGGGGGTGGCCATTTGAAAGGCTCTTTTGGGGATTTAAGGAAATGTTTTGAATATTTAAAATTTATATGGGTATGCTGGGCAAATTTTAGGTGAAAGAAAGGGCATACCAAGTATTTTTAAAAAGATTTCTGAATTAGATTTTAAATCCTTAAAAAATAAAAAAGAAAAAATTTCAAACAATTTTTAAAAAAAACAAATTTTAATTTCAAAAGGGGGGGGGGGGATAATTCTTTAAATAACCCAGTTAAAAATTATAATTATCCCCCTTTTAAAAGTGGGTAAGATTGTTTAAAATATTACAAAGTATTTTAAATTTAAAAAACATCCTTTTTGAATGGGAATTAACAGTAAAAAAATAAATTTGACTTTGGGAAATTGCAAGATTTATTCGCCGGGTCTTTCCCTTTCCGAAAACAAAAAGCCGATAAAAACCTAAACCCAAATTTTTTTGGGACTCTTTTGGGGTTTTCGCGTGCCCATATTTGATTTCAACTTTCCCTTTGGTATCCAACTTTTTTACAATTGCCAATCAAACCTTGCAAATTTTTTGGAAAAAACGGTTTTGGTTTCCTAAAAAGAGTGGACTGCCCGGGGAGCCCCTTCCCCAAACACGGAAAGTTTTTATATTTTTTGTTAAGCTTCCCCTAGAAATCCCTTTGCCCAAAAAAAAAAAGAAAAAAACAAAAGCACGTTATGTCAAGGGGTTTTTGGGGCATACAAAGGGTTTTTGTCCGGGACCGGGAACTAGGGATCTGCGTTGTTGCAGGTTCCCTATTTACCGGGAAGAACCTCCAAGAGCCCACAAGAACCTTTTTATAAATTTCAAATAAAAACGTCCTCCCGGAAAGTTATTTGTGATATGGGAATACAAATTTGGGGGAAAAATTTATTTTTTATATTGAAAAAATCCTTTGTTGTTTTAAAAGAAAAATTAAAAAAATAAAGAAATACCCACACAAAAAAACCGAAAAGAAAAAAAAAGGGTGCAAAGGTATACTAAACGTTGATACCGGCCCAAAAAAAATTTTTTTTACCCTGATCATTCGCCAAAAATTTGTGGGTGAAAATATTTATTTAAAAAATTTTCCCCTTAATTTGGTTTTTAATTGAATACATTGCAAAGAATATTAATAAATTTTAGAAAAAGAAAAAAAAACAAAAAAAAAACCCGGGATCCTGTGTAACGAAAATTTAACCGAAAAATAAATTTTTAGGAAAGCTGTAAAAAAGAAAATTTAAAAAATTTTGGGATTTCAATAATTTAAGAGTAAACAAAGGTGCTATAAACCGGGCAATTTTTAAGCAAAATGATATTTAATGAACGGGCTTTTTAAAATAACTTAAAACTGAAATCTGAAGGAATTTAAAATTTTTTAAGTTTTCAACATGAAAGCTTTATGAATTCCCCTTAAAACTTTCCCAAAAATAATTTTTTTTTAATTTTTTTACATTATGGTCTCCCCAAACCTTTTACGGGGCCCTCTACGTCCCACCATTTTTTTTTTAAAGGGTAAATTTCTTGTTTTGTTTAATTCCCTTTTTTCCTTTATTTTAAATTCTTTTTTTTCATCATTTTTGAATGTCGTTTTAAATCAAAGAAAAAAATTTAAAGTAATTTATTTTATTTAAAACTAAAAAAAACGGGGGTTTTAAATTTTACAACGTTTTTTCGATATGATAATAAAATCTCGACCAAAACATTTATAATAAATCAAAAACCCCTTGTTTAGCGATTGCGTCAATTCGCAGTATTAGGACGAAAAGTTTTCAAAACCATCACTATCTAAGCGGGGTGACTCGCGGTTACCGTAAAAGCTCGCGTTGGGCGAGCAGGCCTTCGGGGCCCAGTGCTTTCGGAGCTCGCTAAAAATGTTAAGATTTTAAAAGATTTTTTTTTTGGTTTTTTCCAAGCGGGAAACTTTTCCTTATTAAATTAATAACAATTAGACTCGAATACCATGTCCAGAAAAAATCCTTTGTATGTTATTTTATTTTTTTTACAATTGCCAATCGCGATTCCGAGAGATTTCACAGTATGGGTGAATTTTAAAAAAGGGGTAAAAAAAACCCCAATGCCCCAATTTATATTACATATAGGTCGGGGTTCTTTGCTGTAAATTTTGCCAAGTAAGTCCGACCGGGAAAAAACCCGGGGTCGAAAAAATTTCCTGACTCTGGGGAAATGCAAAGGGATCCTTAAAGGGCACTGTTTAAATCAAACCCAGAGGGGCAAAGATTTTTTGCTTCTAGGGGCCAAGAGTTTAAAAAATAGAAACTACAAAGATATTGAATGTTTATGGGTTTTACAAATTTTCTAAAATTTTTGGGGTTTTAAAATTTTTAAAATGGGGAAACAAATTTTAAAAACTTTTTTAAACTGCAATTTTTTTTGTTTTTAATTTTAAAAAAAAAAAACTTCCCAATTTTGTTTATTTAAAGAAAATTTGTTGTGATTGCCTTTTAAAACGAAAGGGCCAAACAAAAAATAATTGCTTTCACACGATAAAATCCCACTTGAAAGCAGATACAACTATTTGTTTCCGTAATACAATAAAAATTAACGTTACGTTCAATTATTATATGCCTGTCTTAAATTACAGAGACATTCTATGTTACAACTCTTTTCAGAATCGACCATAAGATTATGGATTCAATATCAGTTTACTGTTGTTAAGTCTTAAAATTATATGTCATAAGATATATCTTTGTACCATTTGTCAGCCACTACTAAAGTTCTGTCCGATTTCAAACAGTGTCACTGAAAAATTACTCGCAGGTTAATAATTCAGACTTCCTATCACATCCTTTCATAGAATCTGTTTTACATAAATTGAATGCCTTTCAACACCTACGCAAAAATAATTTGTAAAACTGTGTTATTTCTATTTCGTTAAATATTTTTTGTTTGTTTTGGAGATATTTTATGATAGTTGAGCACAAGTTATTTGTTTTTGTGATTTTGTTGTTTTAAAATGAGGTATTGTTATCACCCTATGCCTGTTATCACCCTAGCCATGTTATGATCCTTTGTTATGTTATCACCTTGTGCCATTGTTTCACACCGTGCCATGTTATCATACTGTACCATGTTATCACACTGTACCATGTTATCACCATGTGCCATGTAATAACCATGTGCCATGTAATCACCCTGTGCCATGTAATCGCCCTGTGTCATTTTATCAACCAATGCTATCACCCTGTGCCATGTTATCACCCTGTGCAATGTTTCTTGTTATCACCCTGTGTCATGTTATCACCCTGTGTCATGTTATCACCCTGTGTCATGTTATAACCCTGTGTCATGCTATCACCATGTGTCATGTTATAACCCCATATAATCACCCTTTGCTATGTTATCACCCTGTGTCATGTTATTACCCTGTGCAATGTTTTTTGTTATCACCCTGTGTCATGTTATCACACTGTGTCATGTTATAACCCCATGTAATCACCCTTTGCTATGTTATCATCCTATGCCATGTTATCACCCTGTTCAATGTTTTTGTTATCACCCTGTGTCATGTTATCACCCTGTGTCATGTTATCACCCTGTGTTATGTAATCAACATGTGTCATAATATCACACTGTGTCATGTTATCACCCTTTGCTTTGTTATCACTCTATGCCTTGTCATTACCCTGTATCAAGTTATCACCCTTGCCATTTTCCCCTGTTCTTTGGATCCCCCCCATGCTTGTTTTTTCCCTTTTCGTACGGGGAAAAACGCGGAATATAAAAAAGAATGTTTCATTATAAAAAACCCGGGTTGTTAGGGGAAAATTAAAGGAAAAAAAATAAAAAACCACTTTCAATGTTTTTTTAACCCTTTGGGGCTTTTTTATCATTTTTGGGCCTTGTAAAATACCCGGCAAAACAAGGTTATATTTTGCCATTCCTACCAAAATTTTCAAGAGCTAAGTAACCAGAAGCTTTTTTTAAATTGTACGTGACAGCATAACGAGCCCGTAATAATTTTAACGACCCCTTTCATCGAATAACCTTAAAGCCTCGTTCGGTAATCGTTCACGAAAATTAAGACAAAATTTCTGACGAAGTCGAAATTGATGAACGTTTACACAATATTTTGCCGGCATATGTCATTTCCGCATTTTGCAAACAATGGAGGAAAAGGTTATATTTAATGAAGCAAGACGCGTGTAAGAATATACTAAACCTTTTGCACATGCGTAAGATGTAGCGTCTGTTTAACGTCTACTTTGTCATTGTATTGAATGGTTCTAAAACAAACGCTTATTAGCGGAAAGACGCGGAAATGTTCGAGACAATATAACTGTGTATGTTTCTCTCTTATTCATATATTTTTGTTGTTGTCTATATCAAATCGTTTTGTAAATTGTGTGAGAGGGATTTGAGAGTAAGGTTTAAATTGGAATTGGAAAGTTCCCTTATTTCCGCCATCTTCTCAAGTATTCTCTTTCAAATCACTTCGATTTTATCCTTCTACAGAGTTCAAATCTTAGTAGCATTTCATTGAATTCTATACATTTTCAAATGATATTTGTCTTTAACTAACAAGAATAACCTCTGCAGAGCAACGCCCTTTCCGGGATAAATAGCTTGGTTGTTGCTGAGAGATGTTGTTCCACAGAGATAAATTTCACTGTGAATTGTTACTGCAGAAAAAAAGTTGCTTTTTTTGTCTTAAAGAGGAATTTGTTTTACAGAAGGCTGATTTCATAAAGATTGCACTGTATTTTCAGTTATTGTTCTTTTACTGAAACACGTCATTTTGATGAAAAATAAGCAAACATTACTCAAACCGTTTTGTAAGAAGAACAAGAATGTGACCAGTGCTAAAATTAAAAATACGCTTTAAGTGACATTTTCTTCTCAATCGCATGATGTATTGAAATAAAACGCGACAGAAATTATCCTTAGATAGAACCTTACTTAATTGGTAGCCGTGTTTGCCCCTAGAGGGAAATCTTTTGATTGACATCTTCACAATGCCTTGATAATTTTTATAAAACTCTACAAGTATGGTCACAACAAAGACTTTATTTTTCATCTTTAGATGTCTGATACAATTAGAAATCCCGTAAATGAACAATAATTATTGCTTTGTAAATAACTAGGGTGAGGACATTTCACATGAACAATATCACCTCTTTGCAAATGAAGTGTTGCGGATATTGTATAAGAATAAACTCCCTTATCTTCCTCACTACTAAAAGGGTCTTCGTATGCGCCAACAAGTTCCTTACTGTTATGATATAAGTGGCATGCTACATAATCAGTTAATGTATCCCATTTTTTAGTCAGTGTGGTGACGAAGTGATAGATACCTGGCAGATGACATGTAAATTCTCCAGTAGTTGGGTTGTAACTGTTACCATAGTTTTGATAAACTGTCGGAAATCTTACTGAAATTCCATTTGCAATAAGACCATATGCTATAAACGCTATCTGTTTGTCTGAAATTATACAGAAATCGATAGACCTTTTATTTTTATATAATAGAAATTAATTTTTTTTAAAGTGGCATTATGCCCATCTGAGAGTAAATGGTGAGTGTTTAGGTAAAATGAAAATAACTTTATCATTTTACAATGAACATTATCTGAGTAATCAGAAACCCAAGTCACCGACATAAATATCTATATATATCCTTTGGGAAGTTAATTATACCTAGAAATGTGTTCATAGGACACAGGTGCCCCCACTCTCCACTGTCTATACTGACGTACAGCAGGACAGAATGACAAAAGGGCAGACAAAGGAAATTCTACACGACCCCCAATACCCCTAAGTGGTTGGGGACATCCAATTTTTCCAATATTGGAATCTTGATATTTCCCAACCGCAGAAGCATAATTACACATGCTGGCCAACAGTGCTATTAACTTCTATGACTCCAAGTCAGATATTATTTTAGCTATGCATCACGCAATATAAAAATTGCAAATTTATACTAATTAAAGTGCAAGAAGTCTAAAAACACTGAATTAATTCATACGCAAAAACCCAAGGTGCACAACATTCCTGAAAAGTTTGTTACTTCTACCTCAAGCACTTTCAGCGACATACAGGAGGCAACATTTTGGAACAGCTTTTACTAAGTTAAGGGCACTTACTCTACAAATTCTTATTTAATATACAAGCAAACCGCCAGGTACACAGCTTCACATGCTGACCAACATTTCTGTAAAGTTTTACATCTCTTTACACAAGTAAGAAATTGCAAATTTTAACTAAGTCAAGGGCAGTTAGTCTACAAGTACTGGATAATTCACATACGAAACCCCAGGTGCACAACTTCAAATACCGATCAACATTTCTGTAAAGTTATATGACTAGGGTTTTGGGCTACGTACGATACAAGTTGGAAAATGAACATTTTTACTAAGTCATGTGCTATACATCTACCAATAATGAATAAATGCACAAATTAACACAAAGATGCACAACTTCACATGGTGACTAACATTTCTGTAAACTTTCATGTCTCTAGGTCAAATACCTTTTTGGCTAAATACGACACAAGTTGAAAATTGCGAATTTTTACAATGTCAAGGGAAATAACTCTACAAATTATGATATTTTTGGGCTTCGAATTTACAAATTGTAAATGCTTTTTATAACGAAGTCAAGGGCAATAATTCTGGCAAAACTAAATAAATCCACACGCGAAACCACAGGTGCACAAACTTCACATGATGATCAGCATTGCTATAAAGTTTTTGACTCTAGCTCAAGAACTTTTAGTTGTACATGCAACACAACATGAGAACGGACAAACAAACGGACGTATAAGGACACATATTGATGCTACCCCCCCCCCCCATTTTTAGTGGGTCACAAAAATATCAATTGGCAGTCTGTTTACATTAAAGCAGTTTTTATACTTCATCCTACACATTTGTTATAATAGATTATTGTTCAATCGTCATTATAATATTCAATCTTTTGAAATATTAATTAAAAATCTCAGTTTGGCATTGAAAGGAAATGAGCATAATGACACTTTAATAAGTCGACATGATCATATATATGATCATGTATATATATATATATCTTCAAAGTACGAGATTAAATTTAACTTTGAGTATATTTAGTTTGTTTGTGCAGCTAAACCTGAGCTGTATAAGTCTCTAGTGTGATTTGTATTCTTCGATACATTTATGGGAACAATATTACATTTACATCGTATCATCATATAACGATTAAAATAGGCTTTAAGAACACGTACTTCTGTAAAAACCGTTAATGAATTAATTATGAAATGTAAAGATATGCCACGTTTGATGACACAAATTATCATTTCATTATTAGAATTTTGTTGTAAATATTGTACTTTGAGACCAGATACAAATAGGATATTTGTTTGTTTTTGTGTAAGGTGAAATTTTATTTCATCGAGTGAGCTTTAAAAACAGTACTCTCATCGTGATAATACTGTTTTTGAAGTTAACGACATAAAATTAAATTATATCTTAAACAAAAAACAAAATTTAATATTCTTTTTATTTGGTGCTTAAATATAAGTTTAAATGAAATTTCCTCGCGTCACATGTGTTTTTCCCACTGGTAGCCGCAATTTTAGACGTGAATTTCTCATGTATACATAATATCAAGAGCTAAAGTAAAAATAATAAGTTATAAAAAGACGTAAAATACGATGATATTTTATTTCATACAATCGTTATGAATCATCGTTTGTTTAATTAATTAAAAATATCCACTTAAAATAAAATAAGTTGATATATTCTACGTCACACCAACGCTTTAAAGGTCATATGGCGGCTTTTAGTGTAACTGCTGGAGAAGACCTAGTATGCTCTTCCGTGCATAATTTCAGACTTGAACAAGTACCTGAGTAAAACCAACGTTCCGTAGGCTTCTGGTAAACAAAAGAGCTACCTCTATCGCTACTTCCATGTTGCCGAATGTGTCAACAAAGGTATAGTGTTGTTTTATTATATATATTTTGAAAACTCTTCAGCGGAAAACAAAAATCAATGCATGCTATAACATTAAGATTTGAATGAAGTTTCACGGTAACGTTTATTGCGGCGTTTCCAGGTTAGTGCATTTAGCGGTTGATGGATTGTTTCATCATGAAAGAATGGCTATTGCTTCATTTTGTTATATTAAAAAAGCAATAAGGATTATAACGAATACGTTTAAAGTAGATGTTTTGTCTAGAATTAAATCAATTTCAATCTAAATCAGAACCAAGCCTTATATTTTAAAGGAAATATAGGGTATTTCTTCTTCGAGCTGCTCTGTCACGAAGGAGGTAGTCATGCCGCCAAGTAGCTAGCTCTATGGAGATACGTTTATATTATGATTTCATATGAATAACTTTTATTACTGTTAATTTTGAAATCATTGTTTGAGTTATATATATAGATCTATTTTCCATTACTTCTTATAACTTAATGGAGACAACAATTGATGGGAAATTAACGCTTCATAGAATAAATACTAAAATCAAGAAATCTAAAGTCATACATTTTGCATACATAAACAAAACATAAAATAAAAATTCACAGTCAAATATGCTAAAAGCAAGAACACAGTATGTTGACATTGCTCCAAAAAAGGTTGAGTTCATAAGAGTGACAAATGATACACCTGTTAATATAACTATAGCCCACAACTATAGAGCTATGTAGGGGCACATTTGTCTCGGAGCACTTTTGTCTCCCGAGGTGTGACCGATGTGATCGTAAACATTCATATTTGCCATAAATTCGAAATGACACAATAGAAAGGACATTCTAGCTCGAAGCAAATTCTTCTCACAGTCTTTAATAAAATTCTACTTAAAAGGAAAACTCTTTCTGCTTAGTACATTGTAATTGTCAGAAAAGGCAGGTATAACATTAGCTGTCTGTCTATGGGTTAGATCAACCAGAAATTTACGCTAGTTTAATTTAACCGAAATTTTATAAAATCGGTTAACCAAAATTTAACCAGAAATTTAACTTAACCGTGAATTTAATCCAGTGGCCAAAGTTATTTAACATCTATACAATTTGGTGCGGAAATATATAAAACCAAAAATATCGCCATTTTCCAAGAATTTCTGCTTTCAGATACGCCATTAAAAAGGCACTAACAACGTGCATGAGTTCCTCAAAGAATCCGGGTAATACTGATTATTGTCTTTTTTGAAGCAAATATGAACACAAGTTGAGACAAAGCGTATAAGCGGCAGCCATTTTATATCTGGTTAAAGTTTAGTTAAAATTTAACCAACCTCCTATACGTGGGTTAGATTAACAAGAAATAATTAGATTAACCAGCCATAAATTTGGGCCTTGAATAATCGGGCGAGACGAGACATTCGACGAGACACGAAGCGAGGTACGATACTTTAACTAGAGATCTCGCAATGTTGAAGTATACCGTACCACGAGATTTCACGGTAGAATATCGTGCCTGGCTTCATGTTTTGCCGGAATTTTGCTTTCCTTGCATCGCTTCGTGACTGTACTTCTCAAAGGCCTAACTATGGTAAAAGAACCAGCGCGGGAGCCATCTGGCCTTGACGCGAACCTCTATTCTAAAAAATAAATTCTGCCGTGGGAAGATATATGCCAAAAAATTAATAAGAAATGACGTTAGACAAATGTGCTTTATTATCCCTTGAAAACATGCGACAAATGTGCTTTCTTGTCCCTTAAAAGCTTGATTGGAGCACATTTGTCATATGTGTTTTTTCTGGTAGACAGAGGTCGCATTTTTCTCATGTGGGACAAAGGCAACCGCATCGGTCTTACGGAAGACAACATAATGTGCTCAGAGACAAATGTGCTCCTACAGAGCAACATTTTTGGCGATATGCTACCTCGTAAACGAGAGAACTGTCTCGCAAAATAAATACAAAATTTCCTTTAAAAACTAAGTATTGATACTGATTAAAAATGTTCTTGCATATCTACTTGAAATATATTTATGTTAATATAGATTGCTGTAAAAATGAAAGAAATTGTGACAAAAACATTATTTCTATGACGAAACATGCCTTTTAAAAGCTAAATTTGCTTAACCGGAAATGCCACAATTACATCAATTCAAGCATAGATTCGTCAACTTAGCCGTGAATTTTTAAGAAAATCTACATGGTATAGCATTCTTTGATTTTATATAATCGATGCAGAGTTTACAAAAAAAACAACATATAATAAGACAACATTAAAAGTTTGTTGACCTGTCAAGTGGAGATCTTGAATGTGCCATTAGCACTGGCTCAAGCAGTATTCATTTTCAAAGAAATTGAATTTTTCAATACTGAAATAAAGTACGTGGCAGCAAACGTATTCTTATCTACTATATAGAATAGGACTTGAATATGTATCATAATACATCTTTGGTGCACTGACCTGGACACAGACTCCTCGAACAAGGTATCATCTGGTTTGGATCGCCCGTTCGCAATATCGTTTCCGAGGCAAAAGGCCAGGATTAGTACAAAATCCGACTCCGGGTTTTAAAAAACCAAATCACAACTTAAGGCTACACGAGCCCCCAATGCCCCAATTAAAACCAAGGCCCCCCAAACTGGCAAAAATTTTTTTTTTTTATTAAAAAGAGCCATTTTACACATGGGGTTAAAACCCCCCGGGGAAAAGTTTGCCCCAAGTTTTTTCACACTTTTTCCCCAAATTTATACCGATGAGAGAAAATTTTTAAAAAAGCCGCTAATTTTTTGGGCATGCGGAAAATAGAACCGTTCTATTTTGTCATTGTGAGTAAGGGGTAAAAAAAAAGACAATGAAAAAAAAAGATTTTGGGAAAAAATTTAAATTTTTCTTCAAATATGTTATAGGGATATATTTTTTTGCTCTCCCAAAAGTTTAGCATACTGTCGCCCCTTTTTAGTTCGTCCATCTGTCCGGCCATCTGTCCGTCCGTCCGTTAGCTTTTCTTGTCCGAGAAATAACTATGAAACAACAAGAAATAGCAACATGAAACTCTGTAGGTAGATAGATCTCATTGGGTAAAGGTGCAGTGGAAAAGAACCGAAACTCTGCCTTGTCTTATTGTATTGCCCTTTGTTCATTTTACACCCTGAATTTTGTCCGGGACATAAATCTAAAACACAAAAAATATCAACGAAGATAAATCTCATTGGGTAGATGTGCAATGCAAGAAGAAAAAAACAACAAAAAAATCGTAACTCTGTCTTACCTAATTGTGGAGTTATTGCCTTTTGTTCATTTTTATACTTTGACTATTTTCCGGGACATAATTATTAGAGATATAAACATGAAACATTGTAGGTAGATAGATTTTATTAGGTGGAAGTGCAGTGCAAAAGACCCGTAACTCCGCATTGCCTAATTTTGAGTTATTGTCCTTTTTTCATTGTTACATTTTGAACTTTGTCCGGGACATAACTATGACGCTAAAAGAGACACGAACAAGAAACTTTGTAGGTAGATAGATCTCATTTGGTAGATTAGCAGTGTATAGATTTGACTTCTGCAAAGAGAAATGAAGTGGTAACAGTGGTACAGACGCACGAACAAGCACCATTTCTAATGCTTACTGTATCTCTTTGCCTTTGATCTCAGAATGATTTAGGTATATTTGATTAAGGGAAAGAACTCAAAATGCAGGCCTAGTAGAGTTATTGCAAATTGCACATCCTCCCAATATTCCCTGTCAGTTTGAGGAATATCGCTGAAACACTGAGTCATGCTCCAGACAAAATTATGTGGAAGCATTGACGCACGCACCCACGGAGACAATTTCTGCAACTTGATAGTTTTGAGTAAAGTGGAAGAACTTTAAAAATTGGCAAGGTAGTGCTTTTGTTTTTGCACACTGTACTTTCTACCAATATGCTTTGTCAGTGTATAACGTTTAAGGTAAATCCCTCTCTTGTGTTAATCTCTAGACAAAGCTTTAAAGAAATCTTCTGAATGGAATAACGTACGGGGACCATTTCATAATATTATCGTCGCCTTTTGGCTCAAAATTTTCTTAAAAGGTTAATCTGATAATTTAAAAGAGGATAAACTCTAACAGTAGGCAATGTAGAGTTACTGTCTTTGCACACTGTACTTTCGTTCAATGTGCTTTGTCAGTGTATAAAGTATGACGAAAATCCCACAAGTATTATTTTTTGAAATCATGCTCTAGGTAAAATGTTTAAAGTAATCTGCTAAAAGATATTATTCTTAAAAACGGCAAGGAATAGTTATTATTCTTGCACAATAAACATTCTACCAAAGTGCTATGTCTGTATATTAAAATTGAAGAAAATCCCTTAATTATTTTTAGAGTTATGCTTCCAGTTGGACAAAGTTTTTCAAGTAATTCTGATAAAGGGGAATAACTCTAAAACTATGCAAGGTAGAGTAATTACTGTTCGTAATCACTGTACTTGCTACAAATGTGTTCTGCCGATGTATTAAATTTGGAGATTAAATTTAAAATACTCTTGGAGTAATGCTCCGGACCAAATTGGTGCGGATGCACAGAAAGTCGGGCAAGATCGGACGGACGTACCCACGCAAGGATACCATTTCTTATTACGACTCTGTGTTTGGCGGGGTGAATAAAAAACACTATTATCAGTTAATGTACAGACAGAGACAAAATAACGTTTAACTACAGATGGAATAATATTTAAAAATGTCATACATGCAAAAAAGTTACGTTTGAATGGTAAGGTATTGTGTTGATTATATTATTTTGTTGCCTAATACAATTTTTTAAATGTTGTAATATTAAACATACGATAATTAAACAAGTGTACATCTTCAAAAGAACAGAGACAAGCGGCTAGATTCTCGTCTATGATTCTTATAGCTGAACAGAATTCAAACATATCAAGTAAAGTATTGAAAAAGATGTTAAATACATATGCATATATATTCTATTTTCAATCATGAACCAAAAAATCTTAATTCTAATAATGTCTTTTAATTCCTTTAAACCTTTTTACATATGTCAATAGAAAAATTCTTTTTTGTTAGCGTTATTTATTTACGGTACGCATGCACTGAAGAAGACATACTCATACATCTTATACAGAATATACAGGACATTTCATTGTCCAATACAGAAAGAAAACATTGCAACACAAGATAAAATAGTGCAATTCAAGGCAATAGAATAATTGTCAGTATTTATCTATATTAATACCTGAACAAGCTCCAGGTATGCATACTCTATCATCTCTGGAATCACCAAAACAATGGTCGCCAAATAAAGTTGGGTAAGGCTTTGAACACGATCTGTCCCTTCTTTGCATGCCGACGCCACATGTGACTGAACACGATCCCCATGTAGTCCATTGACTCCATCCGCCATGAACTTAATGAGACACATCACAAATTAAACAATCTAATCATAAAATAGGTGCAAACGAGCGCGTAGTTTAAACTTATATGTTTATAAGAAACGCAATATTTCCAAGACGGGAATGAATATCTACTAAATTTCTGAAAGCACTTATTATCCAAATTTAGTTTCATTTAATCATTTTATTACACCTTATTCAATTTAAATTTGCTTGGTTAAAAACACAATATTATAACTTTTGGACAAATTTGTATCGAGTTTCACTTAAGACGCTACCAGGACAAGCATCGTTTTTGCAGATCTTTGTGTCAGAGGCTTTTCCAACACAATCAAGACCGCCGCCTGCAGGAGCAGGATCCGAGCAAATTCGAAATCTTGTTTGAGATCCTGTACTACATGTGACGTCACAGCCTGACCATGATGACCATGCGCCCCAGTTGCCATCAACTTTAGAACGAATAAATAAACACTGTTAAATCTTGAAAATACATTCAATTCAAAAGTTGATTCATTTTCAAAAACGATAAATTGTTTCCTCAAATTAAATACGTCTGTCTCTTCAAAAGAAAAGTATAATTAAATATGGGAAGGACCAACTCTCTAATGAATGATTGAGTTAAGTTGATTAAGATATGATAGTTCTTGTAGGTTATGGCCATTTGTTGAGGGTCTGAAAAGCATTTTCTCAACATTTAAAGAATGAGACTAATTTTCAATAAATTTCCCAACATTTTTAAGCAGGGAATGCCAAGAGGGGCATCAAACGGGAAAAGGCAAACAAACGAACAATGCGATACTCACGTCCTACCCGTATTGGCATTGGCACAAGCATCATTTTCAAACTACTCAAAAACAAATGTCAAAAACATACTACATACATGACAGAGGCACCCTTAAGAAAATCAATTTTTATATAAATGCTTCGCTGCCAAACTAAATTGCGCTTTTCAATCTTTCCTTACTGAACAACTGTTCAACAGTGATCTCCCAAAACACGAATTTGTTCAAGTTCATTTATCTCAATACATAGAGTTAAAAAAAATTACCCACTCCACAAAGGTTACAAAACTGTGGGCACACCAAACTAGCTTGATGAATGTCAGCACAGATGTGAAACAGGGAATTCATCTTTGCACAGTCAACAGTCTCATCATTTCGACAACTGGTCGCTAAAAGAAAATTATAATGATATATTAAAACGTTCATGATTTAATTATTTTCAGACTTCTTCATTTATACCAAGAACAAAACCGTTCTTATTTTCTTGGTTATAACTAAAGTCTTGTTAAATGGGTTTCATATTTATTGTTTATGTTAAATAAATAGAAAGAGTAAATTGTTGTGTCTGTACTTATATTTTTCTGCATATCTAGACTGGCGAATACAAATTTACGTATCTTCTTCAACTTTAAACTGACATATTCCAATTTTATCTATCAGATTAACTAAAAAACACAAAACACAGTTATAATAGCTTTTTATACACAAATCCAAAATGGAAAAATAAAGGTACTCTTATAAACGAAATTAAACGTTAAGTTGAACAATGCATTATGATATAAACGAAGTAAATGCATACGTTTCGAGTGTTGACACAGTAAAGAGTTACAGGAATCAGTAGAACAACATTCGTGACATTCAGAAGACTGTTTCTTTTGTACACTACGTCCTACAATACCAGGTCCCGCTCCGGCAACACCACCACATTGCTAATATAAGAAAATGAGAACAAAATTTACCTTGAACGGCAACGTATACATAATCTGATATCGCCAAAATAAGATTTGAACACACTGACGGTAAATGCAAATGGAAAGGTAGAATAATTGAGGACCATAATGTCTTTAAATTGCTTACAAGCGCTCACCATAGGATATATTATAGTTGAAAAATGGAAACAAACATTATCACGGTAAGGCGACGTTCACATTAATTTTCTTTTCTGTTTTTATTAACAGTGACCTAGATCTTGACCCTAAGGGACCCGAAAGAAATCACGAGATATGTATATATGTACAGCTTGCTATCCGCGAAGTTTCATTTAAACACTATTTTATCACTATTTCACTTTTACATAAGCTTACTAAGTTTCAGTAAGATCAGAAGACCTTAAATTAAGTTTTTGACCGGAAACCATCTTGTATGACGCCCGCCCGCTCGCCTTGACTAACCCCCAATCGAAATTGAAAACCTAGTTGAAAAAGATCAACTAGGAATGGCGGCATTCAAAGGACGTACCCCCTACACAACACAGCAGGCAGTTTAGCAGGATACACGACAACAACAGGAGAGGCCACAATGAAAAAAATACGGACGGGGTGTTAGAATGAACAATTCCAAGGAAGGAAATCACAGAAACCGACTTGATATTGAACAGGACATTAAAATGCCAACAAAAATATAAGGAAAAGAGGCAAGAGGGTGGCGGGGCCAAGAAACGAAAAGAAATATGTCAACCAAATAAAAGCACAAATACTTGGACACAGGAGCAGGGCAACGGACAGAAATGTGAAATTAAAAGGACGAGGTAGGGAGAAAGTATAAAGAAGTGAATCAACTGAAATAACAAACTAAGTCAGGGTTGTAATGGTCAAGTCAAAGCAAATTCTGATTACAGTAGAAAATGTAATCTAGTTTTTTTTTAAGAAAAAAAAACATTTAGACTCCAAGCATACGATAGTACCATTATTACACTACACTTCATTTGGTATTGAATACTATGCATAATATATTACGTTAGTGTCAATGTCAAGTAGCTAGGTGACCTACAGGAGAGAATATATTGTCATTTGTTACATATTGATTTATTTCTATTTTCTTATTTTATGTTCCCTCTTATTTATTTTGATTTTTAAATTTAGTTGAAATTTCTGACGGGAAGTAAGTTTTCACGGCTTATGGCAAAAGAAAGAAAAACATAAGTTAATTTTCCAACCTACCTGACTACCTGTGCAGCCCATATTGTATATACCTCCTTTCTCGTGAAGAAAACATACCTGATAATATGATATACATAATATTACATAATATTATCATAACTGCTGTCATAAATCAAATTTCAAATGAAAAATCACCAACTATCCCTAGTCTTATATGACATAAAAGCGGGGTGGTGGGTAACCATGGATTTGGATATAAATTAAACACTAATAGTCTTATAAATTGGTATATTACAAATACATTGACAGTCCAATGTATATTTTCAATCAAAATGTTGGGTGTTATAAACATTTGAATGGATGGATGCATCATACCATGAAATATCAAGAGGATATTTTTCGTTTGAGTGAAAACATATATACTTAGATAAAATTCCATATACTTTCACGAGCCGGAAAGGCAAGTAAAATATATTGAATTTAATTATTTTAAGAGAAAAGATAAACCACATGTCACGAAAAATAATAAAAAGCACTTGTTTTTTTTTAAATTTTACCTTCAATAAAAAAACACAATTAAAAGTTAAAAACTTCCATTTGTTACGCATTTGAGGTTGTACAGCACACATTTATAAATATTTTTGAAGGCACGGGATGCAGTTAATACACAATTAATCACAGCCACCTAGAACTGTCTTGAGAAAACATAACCAGATAACTTATGATAGTGAAATGAGTATCTGAAGCTACAGACTGTCACAGATAATAATTTGAGAAAGTAGTCCCAAAAAATGAATATAAGTTTTGATTCCGCCCATTTTCATATTCATTTTTCACATTTGTTTTTTTTTGTGTGTATAAATATGATAATTATTTTACTAATATAGCACCATATTTTATGGGTAAAATTAAATAATCATATACATGCATCAATATTTTACGAGTGTAACCATAGTGAGTACGGTGTCCGCATTTTAATCAAGAAATCGTTTGTTTGAGACGGATGACGGATCAAGGCCATGTTTCAATTATAGTGAAATTTAAATTTTCAAAGTTATGATTATGATAATTACAATATATCAGTGCAATGTAAGAACATATCTTACTTGTAAACTTTGACAGGACACAGTGATGTTGCACTGGAAGGGATCATCAATGTTCTGACAAAACAAACAGCTTAGTGAATCTGTAAAAAAATATGTAAGTGGCCAACATAATATAATGTAAATGAAAGAAAGAATGTTACGAGCAAATATACACTGTGACAGATAAGTCACAGCGACTTTGGTGTATAGATTTAGCCAAAGAATTCCAACATTTCAACATGGCAATGTACTAAACACTTACTAACCTACTAAATATATGAATCTTTGCACTGAATAAACGGGATAGTACTTAATGACAAGTTGGCGCCAATTAAATAGATTAAATGTCTCATTGGACAAAATAAAATTTCAATCAACAGTTTATTTATTAGATATTTACTTTAAGATAATTATTTTCGCGTTGAAAAAAATCTTATTTATAGCTACATCTAAATAGAGTAAGATTTGATGTATAACAAATCAAATTAATTGGTAGTTATTGTCCATTCTTGCTTATGAAGAAAATAATCTAGCCATACATTCAACTTATTTCAGGAGTAAAATTGTAGATAATTTCCTACTCTTACCTATTTTGGCAACACATATCTGGAACACTAATAGTAAAAATATTGCATCTGGAAAAAATCGAATACATATTTATTTTATGTATATGTATATTCATACAAATACACCTGTATAAAATTATATTGCATGACTGTATATATTACAATTGCCAATGATGTATTTCAATATTTAAATGAGATTCATATTACGTAGTTTAATAAAATCAAAAATATATTAAATCTAAAAGTACATACGATGTCTGTCCATGCTTTTCAGCTAACATGTTACGATTACCAATTATGCGGCAGTCTTAATCTATTTATATCTAGAGATAAACGAATCGTGACTTTAGAGGGACAGAAACAAGATCTGTAGACACGTTTTGGCAAACTTTTATAACGTTATTGTACATTTCAAACTTATGTGCAGACTATTTTTAACTGATTTTTCTTAATCTTTCAAATTGAAATAAACAAGGAAAACACACACACACACACGCACGCACGCACGCACGCACACACACTCGCACACACACACACACACACACAAACACACACACACACACACAACAACAAACAACCAAATACCATAATAAATTCTAGTATTGCTCTTTTACGTAATGCGGATTTAAACTTTGATGATAACTTGTTATTAATTTAATGAGTTTAATTCATAAACATATTTCAGGAGTAAGCTATGTGTAACTTTAAATTAACGTTTAAGTCGTACTGACCTGTATTATCAACAACAAAATAAATAAATAAATACATAAATAAATGGAAAAATGACCAACAAAGAAAGGCGACGTCCACAGAAGACAGCCTCCGACATAACCTAAGTCACACTGACAGGGCACTCAGAAGGCACCGCTGTGAAAATTGTGGAGGGACAGGATTGTAATAAATAAAATGATATGGGCCGCGGAATTGGCAAGGAATGGGACTTGGGGAGGATGGAAAGAAAATACTTACCGCTAACGATAATTTACAAGACAGGGCATCACAGAACATGTAAACATACAAAACATGTATCAAATGAATACACAATGCAATTCCAAATGGAATTTAGATATAAAATAAATACAAATTCACCATTTTTAACGCTAAAATTAACGAAGGAAGACGTAAACAGAACACTGGGACTGTTATTTGAAAGGAATATAGTTGCTTAAAAATGAAAATGCATTGTTTTGAATGTCAAATAAATAAAGAAGCCACGCGCATGCAAATAATTGTATATCAATATCAAATTATTTACGTTCACGCCGTTTTATCCTTTAAATAATCGACGACTCAGAAAATGATAGGTTTTCTATATTATATCAATTATTCACTTTTTAATTATTTTTACGGATAACAATGACTAGAAAGTAAATGGATTATTGGTTCAAATCGTATTTGTCAGGTTGTTCGGCGAGATTAAATAAGATTAATCAGTAAAAAAAACATAGGACTATTGCGGCTACTTCGGAAACATTTTCTTTCATTACGATGATGGTCTTGCAATAAAGACTGAATCAACATCTCTTGAACGGCCCAAAAGTTTGCTTTACCTGATCAAGCACCTTAAGATTGGGCAAATGTCCTAACGCTGAAGTACTTTTAACTCATCAAGAAGTATGAAGTTTGTTGACGTTACTGAAATAAATAAAGCTGTTATCATCTTTCAACACTTCCCTCATTCAAAGTTAGTTTGATGACATACCTTGAGTGCATGTAGGTGACATTGCTTATGTGTTAATCACCGCGCATAAAAAATAACGTCTCGTGCAAATGTTGACTTCGTTCGGTTTATCAATCACTCCGATGAAATATGATAAAAAATAACGATAGAAAACATACACGTGAACATATTGTTGCTCAGATAACTTAGTATAAATGAAATCATCATGCTGATAAAGAAAATAATGATCGATGTAATTTTCAAGCTTCCATCCAACCTTTGTAATTCGATATAAAGAACATTTCAATTGAGTATTTTAACAAGCATCATATCTACCAGGGCCGAGAAAGGAATAGAACTATTAGAGATGGTTCATTATCTTACATGTTGCCTACAATTAAACTATTAAAACCGCTATGTCTGAATGAGAGAAAAGTCTTCAAGATAAATCAAGGTCTTTATTCTTTATCGAAGGTGTCAACCGACTTTTTCGAGTTTATTGAGTATGACTTTTATGGAAGGTCGACTGTTAATCTGTAACACGCATGATATTAATTAAGTATTTAAAACTTGATACAAATATTACCAGCATGAGACCTTGAATCGCGCGCATGAACCCTGTCATAAATGTCAATATCATAATTAGAGGTCATGCATAAAATAACTTCATAATTTCTTGATACAAATATTCACCTTCATGAGACGAAGTGTCGCGGGCTTGAACTAGCTCAGTAAGTGCAAAGACACAAGATAAGGACAAGAGTCATCTGCGTCATATGCAAAATTTAGAACCTCTTATCATTTCACACAGGACGAATATTGTGATGAAGACACTCTAGTTTATCTAAAACGTTATTCTTAATGAACTTTGTAATAAGTAGATACTTATTTATCTCAGTTTAAGTAAAACGACACTTGTGCGGACCATTCAATCTCTTACATTTTACATTTCATCCGTAAAGTGATAAAATATGAAATGTGACTGATCTGTTACTACCAAATTGTTTTAGTGTCTGTTTAACGTTTTGTTTGAAACATTAACTTTTGATTGCTATAACTTCTAAAATTAATATTATATTTTACATTTTTACAATGGCTTTGACATATAGGGATTTCTTTATTTAGTTGTCAATTGATTGTTTTCATTTACTTTTTTTTACCACTCCATGTCACGACTTTGTGTCGTCTCCTGCTTTTTGTTCGTTTCCTACTAAATCCTCTCTCGATAGTCCAGTGTGACTATATTTTGTCGTGGGTTGCATTCTCTTAATGTCCCTATCGTTTGTTGATCTATTTTTAATTTATATTTTTCCTGTTTCACAGCCATAATGCACGTGTGTATTTTTTCATTTGCATGTTTCTCAGTTCATAAATGAAAAAGCATTATGGATTATTATAGAAATTATAAAAGTAGCTTTACTAAGTTTTCATTTAGGACTTTGCCACAGTTGAAAATAGTACATTTGATATGCACTTAATATTTACCAACTCTTGATTGCGAACTGAGACATTTTACAATTTTCGCAGAGTACACATGTAGCATCATAACGCAACAAAGTCCTTGCGTTGCAATGTTTATAATGAAAGTTTTATTTATGATGACACGTTTTGAACAGAGGTACTCTTTCATTTCGTTTCTACTTAATGTTGCGATGTCCATGGTGAAAGTTTTATTTGCGATGGTACATTTTTAACTCAAGTACACTTTCATTCCGTTTCTAATTTATGCTATTCTACTTGCAAGTTAAGTTAAGCTTTTTGATAACTTCCAAAAATAATTTTTCATTTATGGAAATAATACGTTCTACAAAATTATATTGTATATTGCAACATTTTATTTTTCGTTGTCTTTAAACAACATAAACGTCTACGAATAAGACAGTTGTTATTTACCTGTCTGGAACAGCAGCAGAAAAAATGTGGCATCTGAAGTTAGTTGTTTTGAAAAAGCGCTAATACAATCGGAAATATTCAAAATTAAGTTTATATTTCATAAAGAAATAAGATAAGTAAAAGTCAAATTTACAAAAGTGGTTATTGGAAACCATACGATGTCAGTCCATGCCTTCCAACTTACATTTTACAATTAACAATCATGTGGTAGTCCTAATCTATTCATATCTAGAGATAAAAAATCGTGACTGTCAAGGGACAGGAACTAGATATTGACGTATGTTTTGCAAACTTATATTACGTTATTAAACATATCAGACTTTGGGGCATACTATTATATAAATAACATATTGCTGTCCGCGGGGTACTAGTATTAGATATTATCAACCCGAAAACTGGTATATTAACCCGAGTCGCAGCTTAACTTTAACCAAAGGCAAAGCTACGGGGTAATAACAGCTCAAAGGTTGATAGGTTCTCGTATCACCCCAACATACACGTGTTCTTTATTCAGTTACACCGTCAATACCTACAACTATAATTTAAAACTTATGCGAACTGTTTTGACAATAAACGCTTTATGTAAAATCAGCCCAGGGGAGTTAACTAGTGCGGTTTAGATACGGATGTATGAAGGAGTTATGTACTCAATGTTGAAATAAATATCAACCGACGAATATCTTCTCAATTAGTTTTACATTGAACGATATATTGAGGAATGACATACCAATTATATCTCCTGATATTTTCCGGAGTATATCTTTACATGCTTGGAGTGTTTTTATAATTACCTGGCACCAATGTCCACCATCATAAGATGTAATGTCAAACACTTGAACTCGGCTAGTAGATCAAAGGTGATGGTCGCATCGAGATACCAGAGGGCAAAACTTTTAATGCTCACACTTCAGGAAACTTTATTGTTATGTTCTAAACATAAGTTCCAACAACACCTTTGAAAAATGTTGATACTTTACCTTTTGATTTGATCAGCTAAGAGTATAAACTTTAGACACAGTAACACTGACCAAAAGTGTTACACAAATGTGAAATCAAACTTATTCTACGTATACCTAAACTATGCGATATCCTTTGCACGTGCCTTCAAATATTTATCTATAATAACATGTAAAAGAAGATTTTATCGATTTGTAGGAATTGGTTGAAAAGCAATGTAAATAGGAAATAATCTTAAGCATGCCTTTGATGAATCATCTTCTTTTTTATTTAAAAGAATTTCATTGAGGAATTCTAAAGGATATTACCTTTTTACTTTTTTTATTTGTTGTTGTTGTTGTTGTTTTCCTTTAAAATTGAAAGCACATCATTTCATGTTTTTACCAGTTCAGGTAGTTTGCAGTTTGAAACAGAAACACCAATTGCATGTACACTGTGGATGATCACGTGACCAAAATCGTACAATGGGCTCATATATTTTTAGCAAGCAAACTGAATTCATTTAATTAAATACTTCTTCCTACTTTTCACTTTCAAATATTATGTTTGTATGATTTGAAGGACAGGAAGCGAGAAACAAGCATAATTAAATGAAAAAAACTGACGAAATAGGACAGGCAATAAAATCGTTCGACCATTGTACTCATTAAATTTGGTTCGACTGTTGTACTCGTTTTTTAGAAAGATGCAAGATGGAAATTGTTCATGATGGACATGATGGACAAACTTGCAATTTTGCACAAAATGTCATTGCTTATTCTGCTCAAAACGTGTTTCTTTTACTGAAAACGTCGTATTTTAGTACCTGTTCGCCCAAACAGAGCGAGCTACAAAGTAACCAATAACAGTAAAGTACGTGTTTTTTATACAAGGGTTCCGTGTGGCCTAGTTTTACATATAAATTAAACGTTAACTATATGCTTACTTCAATTTTACTGCTTTTACCGAGCGTTTAGGTCGCCATTTTTTGAGCCCATTGTACGGTTTTGGTCACGTGATCATCCGCAGTGATGTAGTGTATAATCAAACATACTGAGGACAGACAAACAATTTTGAGAAGTGTTTTGGAGTTATACAGTTGATATACTTATTTTAACTAATTCATATAGTGTCTGAATATTGCATGTGTAGATTTAACAAACATGTAAAGCCATCACTTTTTGTTAAAGAAACTATAAAATATACAAAAATATATCTGTTCAGTGAAATATTCTTATTACAGTATGTTGTTAGTAAATAATAAGATGATTTTATATTTGGCTTTGCTATTTTGTCAAGATCTGGCTCGAGTAATTACTGCATACAGAGGACAGTTTGAGCAAGTAACAAAAAACTAGTACAACTTAATATAATAAAACACATAAAAAACTAATTCTTAGTCAAAACTCTTTAAAAAAAAAAACGTTTATACATAATAATAATGCAAATAATTTTCGAATGATCTTTGGTTGACAAGCTCTATAATATATACCGCCAATAAATGATCTGACACAAGCACTTGCATGGCTCCAAATATAAATAAAAAATTTATTTACTAAGTTAGATTTGAATTTTTGTTATTCATAAAAAAGATGTTGAAAATAAGATACATGTACAAGCTTGTCAGTTCTAGTCATTTAGATTATGTGCTTGATTAAAGAAAAAAGGCTTTGCGTTTTACAAATTTACAATGACTATATTGATGACGTCACTTGATATCATTCGTAAAATAGAAGAATAAAAAAGAAACATTCATGCTGAAGGTTGCAGACGGGATAAACGGGTGGGTATAGCCGTCTGAGATTTCACATTCGGCTACCAGCTCGAATCATACACATTTCATTCAGGTTATAATATTCAGTATAGCCCGACAGGAACCTTAACAAAAAACGAATAAGATAATATTTGTTATAAATATATTTAATAAATATATCAAATTTCTTTTATAGTAAAGGAAGAAAAATGACTATATAACTGACAAAATGTACTGAGCATATTTTACAAAATGGACGTTCTATTTTACATCAATGATTTTAACATGTTCACATTGCATGGCTAGAAATACTTTTCTGCATAGGATTTACGTTAGGAAAGTTTGTTATGATATAATTTGGTCAGATAAGTCAAATATTTACTTACGCCTATATTTTCAGTTATAGATGATAAAAGGTTCCAACGCGTGTGCTAATAGCACGGCTAGATTAAAGAAATAAGTCAATTTTATAACTTCAAACAGATTCTCTTACTGGTATAACCAAGATAAAAATAAGATATTTTGAACATTAAAAGACTATCATGGATTTCATACAAAATATTGTTATCAAAGTAAATATACCTTTGTGTAAATTACTTTCAAATGCTAAACTGTCACACATAATTCTTCCAAAATGTCTGTATGAAAGAAAAATGTTAGTACATTACCTTAAAATAAATGGTGAAAACACGAAATCACTTGCTAAACCGTTAAATCTCTGATTAAAATAGTATCATAATATTTGTCCCAGAACACTTTATTCTGTTTCCGTACAATATTCAAATGTGTTAAATAACGTAGAAATTTTTGCTACAGCTCTTTCGAGAATCGACCATAAGATTTTTGAAACAATATAATTTAATCTTATAAATGTACCTTTAAATCATTCATTTACTAACAGTTTTGTTGAAACACGAAACAATGAAATTGGACCTTTAAGTTCATTGGCAAACAAAACCTTTTAAATTATCTCTTTTTCAATATATTTACAAAACTGAAAATGTTTGTTTTGTTGATATTCCGTTGTTTTTTAAACGTGTGTGTGTGTAAATGTAACATTAAGTACCAAAAACAATAATACAATTAAATAAATATGAAACAGAATGTATGATGTATAATAACAATTCGAAGCAAATAAAGTGGCAATAACTTAATAGATTTTTTCCACAAATATTTCAACATATTTAATCATTATCAAATTGTCTTTTCCATTTATAACTGAAAAATTATATAAATCTATTTTACCACTTTGTGAAAAGATGAAATATTCTGAGTGTGAGTAAGAGGGGTAATGAATAAGAAATAGTTACATGAGGAATTATCATACATTCCTTCTTTACCAAACTTAAACACCATAAAAATCTGGAAACAAAATGTTCCCTCGGAAGCATTATTCACTCTTTAATTACATCAAAAATTGCAGACACGGTTTGATTGAGTCTGTACATGAGGGATACTGAATAAGTGCAACATCCCTCACGCCACCTAGCACCGGCTTGAGCGGTACTCAGTTCTCAACAATTAATAGTGCTGCCATCAATGACCTATTTAACAATGGATCATTTATGCCATTTGACAAATATTTCGGAATTTGAGTAGAAAAACATAGTGTTTCCGCAATTGCAATCTGAGCATAAAAGAAACTACATTGAATCTTAATCAAACTATGTTTAATTGCGAATATGTTTGCTGAATCTCTGAATTAAACATATTTGTGGAAAGCGTCTACTATAGTTAACATCGTTAATGACAATTAATGTTATTTGATTAAAGAAAATCATAACAATTCTGTAACAAGAGTATAGTGTCCCAGTCAATCACAGATAGTTTCATGTTATATACTGAATGTAATGCAAATTTATAAAATCAAAATGAATCACATAACAAGTACAGCTTGATGATTTACAGCAACAAAGTACAAAACCTACTTATCAAAATACATAAGGAAAACTTGCTATGATTTGTTCTTATTAGCTAGGAAAACAATAAAAATATAAATTTAACAAAATTTAACACTGATTTAATAGCATGTCTAAATTCACTCCAAACTACAAACGTTATGTACAAATAATGTTTGACGTACAAAATTATTCAACTGAACAACATGTAATTCAGCATGTTCTCAGAACTCTAAAAATGAAGAAAATAAGTTTATCGGGAACTTATGTTTCCATTTGATATTTAACATAATCAATTTTTGCATTTCATTTGATGTTACTTTATATAAACTTTCACCAAAAAACAACAACACAAAATAAAATAAAACTAAAATAAGAAAAAAAAGAAAAGAAAAAAAATCTTTACACAAAATCTTCATGAAAAATTATAAATCAACTCGTCATAACATATTGCAATGGTTAACTGTGTAACTTACTTTTTAACAACCGTCTAACACTGTCAATTATTTGTTGTCTCTTAACTACTATTATCAACAGATGACAGCTTATTGTTGTTGTTTTTTAATTGGCTGTTACATTATAAACATATTTGTAAATGTGTTAATCATGGTAAAAATTGTATGTCAGGTAAAAGCAATCGACTTTTACCATCCGTCTGCAAGAATCAGCAAAACTTTTTTCTACTGCTCATTTATCTAAAATAATATGCTTATAACACACATTTTTGCTAACAAAAAAAAACGTCATTGAGGTTTTCCAATGTTTCAATTATGCCGTGTCGGCCGGTCTTAGAAGTTCCCACTTTAGGGTATGTTTAGTGTCCTTTACATTCCAAACTTAATATTACAATCCCAACTGAATATTGTGCATAAATGTGTCATATCAGTTTCATTCATTTAACATATCATGTTTTAAGCTATTTGCTAAAATGAAATCACCTACATTGAAAGCAATTTATTAAACCATTTCGCCCTGATCATGTCCTCGCAAAACTTGGTAAGTAGTGATGTGAACATGTTTTGCATCTCTAAATTGTATTTTACCTACTGCATTGCTCACACGTGTTTTCCTCGTTTTTACTTTGCCTGACGCATTCTGATTGCTTGCTGAAGAAAGAAGAGTAGTCAGACCCGAGTTTATATGTAACAAATTAAAGACATTTCTATTTTTAGAAACATAATCTTTTTATATTGATAAAGAAACCAAAATATATGATCTTTTTATGAAAATCGCACTAAGACATTTTAACAACTATTTTCAATCAATTTACTTCAGGTATATACAGAGGATGCTAAATGTTATGTTGAGTATCATATAAATTATCCCTTAAATACATCTCGAATGTAAATAATGTAAATCATAACACTGAAATCATTTTTTTTTTGCAGCAACCATATAGTACCACTAATCCATAGAAATACAAGTAGCCGTTTTAATATATTTCTTCTCTTCATTATCATTAATCACATGCAATAATTCGCTTGCAGAAGTATTCAACATTCCAAAGAACTCACCTCTTGTCGACCTTATGTAACACAATGCTAAACCTACACACAATCCAACCAAACCTACAACACCTGTGAATAATGAAAATAAAATTTATACATTTAAGAACATTTTGGTATTGTCATGTAAGGATTAACAAAACAAATAGGCCTAGTGACGACTGTTGCCTTTACCCTTTAATTCAAAATATGTCAATGACCACTTGTTGAATGATTTAGTTTATTAATAAGCAATTGTGTTCTTACTCAATAATTTTGCATTTGAATTACATGCTTTGAACTTTTGTCAAGAACTGTATAAAAACAATCCTATAAACATTTTTTTCTTTGTATTATAATACCTCAATGCGTGTTTTGTACATACTTTGATCATCCATTAAGGGCACAAGCGAAAGAATTGTTACAATACAGAAAGTGATATAGATGACGTGGACTTGTCTAACAATAATACTTAAAATTGAGAAAGTTAATTACAGTTTACAAATTTGCACAAATTGATATTTTCGAGTTATAAACATCTGCTGATTTTTTATTTTTATAATAATGACAAAATACACCTCCTTTTATACACACATCAGAATCATTAGATAACATATTTATTGTTTAATTACCTAAACTAAGGATTTATTGAGATAATCCTTCAATATAATCAATATTTTTCAAGTTTACTTACATATTATTAAGACATATCCCCACAATGGAAATGTTCCACTTGTTTCACCATCATGTTCATTCGTTTCAATAGTTCCCTCTGGAAAAAAATCAGTTTCTAGCATTAATTATAGGCAAGAGGTCAAACAAGAAAACTTTGATTTTTTTAGCAATTACGGTATTTGTTTTTTTTCTTTTTTATTCAGCATCAATGCTTTTTTCATTTTGATAAAATTTGTTTTCTAAGTATCTTTGGTTTAAATGATTAGTTAATATACCATTTTGTAATTATGTTCAAAGGACATTAACACTCATGAAAACTGCATTTTAAACGCCTTTAACTTTTAACAAGTTACGCTTACTGAGCTCAGATAATTTGTCTTTGACTATGCCATGGGTTTGTGGAACGAAATCAATTTCGAATTCTACCATGTAAAGAATCAATAGAGTGAATGCAGTTTTCGAAAACCTTGTGTATTTAACAAAGTGCCTGTCTGCTCTTGAGATTATTATATACATTTTATCTAAATATAATATGATCGTGACAAGCCAAATGCCGTATAAGATTAACAGAGGAAAAACATAGATGTTATCAAATTATTATTATTATTATTGATACTGATTTTCCTTGTCCGACAACTGATATGAAAATCATAACAAAACATCAATATATTATTAGTTATAAAGATTGTTGACAGGTTATATGGCCCTATATAAACGGCTGTTTGTAAATATAACCCGAGCCGCTAGGCGAGGGTTATATTGCAAACAGCCGTTTATATACGGCCATATAACCTGTCAACATTCTTTATAACGAATTTATAATACAGCAAGCATCATTTTTTAAAGAAAAAAGTAAGATTTCTTCACGAGTCGACAGCAGCCGTATATATAAAACTATATAAACGTCACGATTATGCAATGAAAAGTGACGTTACAAACGTGCAGTATTATAATATAAGTTATTACGTAAAGTAACGTACAATGATGCATAACCAAATAAGTAGACAGAAAAATATACCTGTTGTTATTTTCTGTGTGCTGGTACGACTCACAAGAGAACTATTGACGGTCGATGACACTATTTTTGAAGTCGTCAACAGTGTTGTAATAGTCACAGGTACAGTTGTTCCGAAACTATTGGAGATATCCCTTAAAGTATATGAAAAGATTAAAGATAACAAGATTTTGATCAAATAATGTTTATGTCTTCACACTATAATTGATTTATTCTTGAGTATGCTTGAAAAATGATTACTTTTAATCAATCTACATCTTTAGACTAATAGCTTATTATGTGCTTTTCGCAACACGAATTCAATACAGATTGTTAAATCACAACATCCTATCAGTAAACATATCTTTACTCGTGTATTAACGTTTGCATTTTATCAATCATAAACAGGATATTGTAAAATATAGTAAGATGGAATGGATTGTCCTTTATCTAAATGAATTACCTCACATTCAATTAAAGAATATAATGTGACAAAAAGAACTTACTATTAATTAAATGTGGTCAGTTATACTGGATAGTTTAAAAAAATCTTCATTGCAGTATTTTGTCAAACTTTCAAATGATCGTGCTATCCAAAATTGTTCAATACTTTTAAAGAGTTATTTCCCATATATCATTATATTAACTATGTAGTACATTCATTTCCATGAAAAGGTAGCCATAACATACGGGTACATACAAACAATAAATAATTTACACAGACATATTGTACCCTTTGATCAATTGCAATTGACTTAAGACAATGCTAACCGTCAAGTATCTATTCATTACAACCCTGTTATAATCTAATCACTTACATTTGTTGACAGTGAAAGTCTGGTGGACTTCTTTCAAAGCCATGCTTACATGCACTGACACAGCGTCCGTCTGAAAAGAAATACTTTGTTGAATAAGGGGAAACAATACATGTAGAAAATTTAATATGCAGTCATTAAACTATTGAATGATTAACAAATTTTGTCGTTTAGCTGAATTAATTGTTTTTTTCTCATAAAAAAGAAACGTAATTTTTTGAATATTATATTCAATTTTAATCTGCTGTCTTTGAAATTGGAAAAACTGACATTTTGATGACACCTACGAAATGTTTAATTCTTTTCCTTGATGAGAACAACCTATTATATCATATAATATCAAATTAAGGCAAACATTGTCAACACTTTCTTATTTACAATTTAACATGACAGGACGTTCTGCCGGTTACTCCAGCATACTTGTGTTGTTATGTGTTTGGCTAAGGAACAATGATCCGTTATTTAATAAGTTACCTGGTAGGGGAAATTGACCATTCTTGCACTTGTTTTCATTCATACAAAAGTCTGGATTCCAAATAAGATCCCTGTCATAATTCAAAGTCAACTTTCCCTCTGGGTTGTAGTATCCCTTTTTGTAATTACAATACACGAAGGTTGGGTTTACGTTGTCCCCTTCAGAGCTCACAACATATCTATCTCCAAGATAAGCCATATCTGTATGTTTGTATGAACATGCTTGAATACAGTCAGAATCAGTAGGCTGAAAGGTACCAATAGGACAGTCAACCTCTTCAAGATGAACAATATCTCGGAGCTGATCGTCCCGTCTTGCGATAATCTTACGTCCTGAATACAAAAACATATTGAGTAGTATATCTTAAATCAGATCACGTGCACTTGAAACATGCAATTTAGCTAACCTTTAAGTTAATATAAAACTACCCCAATGTATTGTGAATCTATTCAAGCAACATACACATGTTTTTCTTACCATTAACAAATAAACTGGAGAAAATGTTTCATAAATTGTCTCACTTTTAGAAGAGTATTAAGTAAACAATTTTAATCAAATATCTATGATTCTTACTTCTGAATTCTTATTAAAAAGTGGATAAGATAGGATCGTAAAATTCTAACCATCTCATGCTTTATTTGTTTGCCTGTACTAACAGATTATAATTCTAAAAAGTCTAACCTTTCGAACAAGATAACCCTCTCTGTAAGCACACATACACACCCATTTTTTCAATATTTAAACATACGGGATGTTCGTCTGAGCTACACTGTTTATGAAATTCACAGAAATCAAAGATCGTCAAGTTGTGATCGATTCCATTTGTGTGACATTTCGATTTCAATGAATAGAAGTTGTCATGATTGCATGTTTTAGATGTAAGCAGCTTTTTTGTGTCTTGCTTATCTAAAGGAATGGCATTTGCTCCACGTAGTATAACTATCGTCCATAACAGTACCTGAAATATAAAACAACATTTTAAGACATTACGTATTTTAAAAAACTAGTTTTTGTTATACGAGTCTTTTATTTGAGCATCTTTATCTGGAACTTGTATTTGGCTCTCATGGTTTGCACTAGGGGGTGCGTAAACGGATTCGTTTAAGTAAAATTAAGATACTCTAATAATAATCCTTTTATTATATACCTTGCAAAATTAACACTATATATTCAATCCAACGTAATTTCGGATCACGTTCGAGTGTAATTACAGATTTATTTTGTCGGGTCGGGTTATATTTGTAATACATGCATTAAATGTAGAACAAACAATATCAGGCATGAAATAGTTATAAATATTAAACAACTGCCAATATCCATTTCCTTTTACTTTACGTAAAATTTATTCAATATTTCAAACATCCAAGTCGAAGGGCATAAATGCTTTACAAATATCTTATTCATTAGAGATAATCCGAAATGTCTCTAAGATATAAAACAATCCTTGAGAAATTAATAAACTTCAGGATAATTCAATGACATTGAAAATGAAACATTTACCTTCAGGAACCAGAAAAACCATCCATGCATCTGGGTTATTTGGGTTTTCTCCTTTTCATCAATGACATTTAATTTGTCTCCTTTCTGTTCCTACAAAATAACCAAAATGACTTTAAATAAGTATTCAAACATTTAGATAATTTTGATTTCTTCATGCATCTTCTGTAAAACTCCTGTATTTAAACCTTAATGATCTCTCAACTTTGAAAATTGCTATTTTATAATGATAAAATGATACAATATTAACAGTTTTGGGCCTTAAAGATCAAGCATTTCTACTCAGGCAATAATTGACATTTATGTCGACATGTGTTATTCGAATAAGAAATACTAGACTGCTATTGGTTTTAATTGTCAAAATTAGACCACAAACAGCCTGAATAACATGAGAATCTCCCTCCTTTTTTATTTGTGTACGATTGTCAACTTCAACTTCAACTTGATCTGTGTCATCCTTTTGATGAGTGCATGCGTCAATCATGTGTTCATTTGCCATTTGTAAAGACTTCTTTTCTGAAATTGAAAGAAGGAAAAAACATTTCTTAAAATGTGTTTACTTATTATATTACCTTTGATATAATTCGATCATTACACATATGAAGGTGTCCATTGCCTCAGGACTGCAGTTGATATACAAAAAATATATCTAACTTATAAGTGTACTTACACATTACAAAGCTAAACTGTAAACCTTATGTCTGGGAAATTATGCGCGACTTATATATCTTCTCATTGTAATGTGTACACATACAAACAACCAATCACTTGTATCTATCGACTGTCGCCCACTCTTGTTTAATCTTATTCTAAAATTGATCGTTTCATTTATACGACTAACACAACATTTTTGCAATAATTCTAAACTACATGTACTTGAAAAGAATACTTTATTTGCAATGAGTTCTGAAAGTGTCTTACTGTCTAATTTGCCTTCACATATACTATACATCCATTGTTGTATATGTTCGACAAAAACTTTCACATGAAGTTTGTTGTCCATGATAATAACTTCCATCATGGTCATTTTAGTTTCCAGGTATATAAGGTATGCAATGTATCCTTGGGTCATCAAATTAAGCGACTTTTCATCAGAAAATTCAATGCTGTTTTTATATCTGGTAGCCCATGAACTTTTCTCTAAAAGTGCTGCAACCTTGATATAAATGAGAATGTAACAAAATAATTTAATTATAATTATTACAAAAAAAAATGATTGAAACCTTAGATATGTTAAACATGTGAATGCATGCTAATGTATATAGTATCTAAAATATCAACAGTGTGAAACTATTCAGATAACATAATAAAGTATGTATAGTGATGAAATCGAACACCGCTTTCGATAACTAAAACCTTACAAAACAGGTTGGAGTTATTATCTTAAAAATATTACCTTGCGATATTTCATTTACTTAAGATAAAAATAAACTTCACTTAGGCTTAATGATTAATTGAAGTTTTTACGATCACCGACATTAACTATTAACTATTACCTGCAATGTGACAATATAACGGTTTCCGCTATGATCATGCCGTATCATATTTCTTCTCTGTCCACACATTGTGCTTGTGACATTTTTCATACCTTGAGCAAAATAGTACATATAAGTGAAGTAAAATAAAAAATTCATCTTATTTATTGTAAGCTAAACATTCCATAAATTTTTGATAAAAAAACAAAAATGTAGATTACTTTCCTTCATATATTAAAAAAAGAAAATCAAGTAAATGCTACACAAAATTTTAATCACATTTTGTAAAAGTAAGGGTACTTGGGTACACCTCTGACCTGCCATTCAATGAGTTGGTCAACTTTGCCAAATTATAAAAAAATAATATTATAATAAAAAAACCTATCATGTATTTAATATGTAAAAACTATATGACCTCCCTGTTTACTGTTGAGTGAAATAAACTCTAGTTAAATCAAAACGTGTTGGTTTTTTTTTCATATTAAGTAGTAAGATAAAGTGATTACAAATCTTAAACAATGTCGACTCCTGTAAAAAATAAATCCCATAAATGTTTAAAACGACTATAAACACTTCGTTACAAAACCCTATACCACCTGAAATCTGACTTTATCTTAAACCAAGTTTATCGTTAAGATTAAGACGAGTAGTTATAAAAAAGATGTGCGATGACATTGAAAATGCAAGATAAAAGTGCAATTTTTGAAATACCCATTTTTATCATTATTACATACATTGGAATTCTGCTGAGGAGACCTCGTTGCTTGTTGGCCCCGACAGTGCATTTCTTGAAGCTTGAGTGCAATCTATTTCGTCATTTAGACTTTTCAGCTCGTCTAATAATATCTTTAAAGTACAAAAATAGACTAAATATGTAATACAGGTTTCTATGTTAAACGTTATGCATATATAAATATAAAATTCAATTTATCTTCGATCTCCACATGCTAGTATATGTTTTGAAACTTCAAATATGATATATCTGTTGTTAAACTCCAACGACGTGTAATAAACATTGTTACATTTATTTCTTAAACAGTACTATGCCAGAAGTTCGAAAATGCATAGCATCCCTGTTATTTATTACAAATGTAGTTGTTACCTAAAAATAAGACTACATTTCGCGGTCAGAATCTAAATAAACAAACACTGTTATACAGCATGTACACAGTCTGTCTTTTAAAAATAATATGTAGGATTATTATTGATATTTTAATAATGTATAGATATATAAATGCAAAAAAAAAATATAAAAAAAAAAACAATATAATCAAATAGATATATTTACACTTATCCTGCCATGTAATATTTCATCAGATGAGAACTCCTTTCGGTCTTTTGAATCCATGTCCCCAACCGATTCATCTGCTGTCATAAAAGAAAATGTATCGGTTTTTGACATTTTGCTCCCACATGTTGTTCATATATCGTATTACGGTTATCATGATACATATGAATGAGATCAAAAATGTAAAATAAAGTGTACCGTTAAAATTAAGTTGTAATATTCAGTGTAATCGGGAAACAAAAAAAAACATTTTGAAAATTTATCAATCTTGAATTATATTAAATATATCGGTATATTAGAATTTAATTATCATGCTTACGTTTATTTAACAGATCCACGTTATTCGTGTTATCTTTCTTTATTTCTAAGGAAACCCCAAACAACTGAAAACTCTCGGAACTTCCAGATGTAGTTATCTAAAATATGATATTGATATTCACTGTAACAGTATTTACTAAATCATTTCCAAATACAAGACGCCTACAATGAGTTTTTAATTATTTCGAAAAGGATTATTCACAAGTTAAAACTTGTATTATTGTTTGTTAAAACATTGCACCGACAGCTGAATTAATATATTGTTTAAAAAAAACGTAAACCGAAATGATAAAGAAAATGAAATTAGTTTGAAGACACATATACTTTATTTGAAATCTGCTAGCAGACCCCTTTGAAAAGTAAAGGCTTTAACGAAAAAGAAAATAAAAACTTACTAGATTTTGGTAACGCTGCCTATATCTACAGATATCAATCAAAGTTTGTGGATGACATTTTTGAAGGTAAGCACAACGACTTGTCGTACGGTTTTCTGGCATTAATGTCCATCCAGAGCTAAAAGACATCCGTGTGATAGTGCCGTGGTAGGTTTTACCAAAACTGAGAGCCTCGTCTATTGACATCTAAATAGAGCAATTGTACATTTGTTACAAATATATATTTTATTATTATTATTATTATTATTATTAATTATTAAAGCAAAAAAGCAAGAAAAAAAAAACATTTAGAAAAAACACGTTACAATATATACAACTTCCAAGTGTTTGTTTTTTTATTATAAACTGTTAAAAGGAACAAGCAAAAAGTTGTTCAGTAATTAATATAACTATGTGTTTAACCAGCGTTATCACCCTCAACACAATATACATTATTTACCTAATTTTATGGAAAGCCTTGACTGTCTTATAATTGTAAAAATGAACGTTGTTGTGTCACTCTTTCTTTATACAATGTGCATTCATGAATATATTATGTAGATGCATCCTTATATGAAGTCAACTGAATAATATATGATGTCAATGTGTCTTTATATGATGTCGACCAATCATTATACAATGTGCATTTATGAAAATATGATGTGGTAGAACCATTATATAGAGTCAACTTATCAATATATTATGTCAATCTTTCATTATACGATGTGCATCTATTGTTATACGACCCCTGCTTTATATGAAGTGCAAACATCATTATATCCTGTGCTTCTGTCATTATACTGATGGGGTTAAATTTACCGGGTTATATCTCACTATGCACCGTTCGTGGCGACAGAGGGAAAACTCAAAGTAAATTATATCATATATTGTTAAGATGACTCTATATAAAGACAATCCTACATACTAAAGTGTTGTTTTGACTCTATATAAGATAGGTTCCACATAATATATTTGTAATTGCACATCATATAATGAAATACTGACATCATATAAGGACGTTTAAATCATATAATGTTAAGTTGACTTATATAAAGATGGTTTCACATAATATATTCATTAATGCACATCGTATAATGAAAGATTGACATCATATAAGGACACATTTACATCATATAATGTTAAGTTGACTCTATATAAAGATGGTTCCACGTAATATATTCGTAATTGCACGTCATATAATGAAATACTGACATCATATAAGGACAGATACACATCATATAATGTTAAATTGACTCTATATAAAGACGGTTCTACATACTAATATAATGTTATTTTGACTCTATATAAAGATGGTTCCACACAATATATTCATTAATGCACATCGTATAATGAAAGATTTACATCATATAAGTACACATTTACATCATATATTGTTAAGTTGACTCTATATAAAGACGGTTCTATATAATATAATGTAATTTTGACTCTATATAAAGATGGTTCCACACAATATATTCATTAATGCACATCGTATAATGAAAGATTTACATCATATAAGAACACATTTACATCATATATTGTTAAGTTGACTCTATATAAAGACGATTCTATATAATATACTGAAAAATGCACATTGTACATTGATAGATTGACATACTATAAGTAAACATCGACATCATATATTGTTGACACTATATAAAGATGGTTCCAGATAATAAATTCATAATTTCACATCTTATAATGACGTATTGACACCATAAAAGGACAGTTTGACATAAAATATAGTTATTTCGGTTATTTCGACCTTAAATAAGGCTGGTTCCACATAATATATTCAAAAATGCACATAGTATAATGATATATTGACATCATATAAAGAGATACATTGACATCATATATTGTTCGGTTGACTATAGAATTATAAAGATGGATCAACATATTAATATATTGATGAATGCACGTTGTATAAGGAGAGGTTGACTCAATATATTGCTATTTGGACATAACAATGTTCAGGTTTATAATTATAAGACAGTCAAGGCTTTCCATATAATTTAATCACTTTGTTATTATCATTAACTTTCAATATATACAAGTAACTATACTTCAGTATTCTTTTCTTATCGAAAATATTTCCATTTGAGATTTGGATGATCTCGACAACAAGAATAGTTTAAATCCATTTCATTCAATATGCTTTACAATCCATTAATTTAAATCATATATGAACCTATTATTTTAAGGTTTTTAAATTCATGTTCGCGTTTGTCACTGAAAAGACTGCTATTATCAGTCATTACAAAACATACTTAACTAGTAATTGTCATGCAAAATTAAGATTAATGAAATAACATCCTCAAATCATCCAACAAGAATTTGTTTTTACTTATAAAAGCTTAATCCCGGCCACCACCTCAAACTCCTGTCCCATCACATTTCAATGTTGATGTTTTCTTTTTCATATAAAAGGCTTTACTATTTAACCTTAACAAGTTAACCATATTTGTGTGGTTATATGTATATGTATATATTTTGAAAGTACACCTAAATTAGGTAAATAAGTAATCACGGTTAACCTTTAGAGTATGCCATTAAATCAAAATATCATTACATTGTCTAGGTCAGGTTTTACAAAGTGTAAATTATCCAAACTCAAGGAAATTATACCTCTATACAAGCATTGACTTTACCTGTATATGTCAAAAGTAGACAGTCTATATTACATATGGCATATACACTTTACAATGCACCATTAGTATGAATTTCAAATAGATCGGAAAACCCAGACCAAAATAACTTTTCATTGGCTTACTTAAATGTTATTTATAGACATGCTCAATAATAGGTGGTTATATTATGCTTTTGTCACCATCAATAAAAATATATAACTCATATCTTAAAACTTTATAGGTAATTTTGTACATGTAGTATACAACATTATTAAATTACACAAAAAGGAATATTTATGTGTATGAACTACTTTTATAATCTGCTTGTTGATGTTGTTCTTGTTGTTGTTTCTATTTTTATAAAGCAATGAGTTATGCCTGTTTGCTTTAACATTTTTCTGTTATTTGTTTTTATGATATTATATTTTAGTTGTAAATAGCAACATATATATTTCTCCGCTTTTAATATTAAATTCATACTAAAGAGGAAAAGGTTCCTAGCATTTATTAATGATAAGCAAATATAAAGTATTTGAATCAGACACCAATGTTAATAATGCTTTAATTGTGTATCACTTTTATGGAACATTTTTTGAATAAATAGTTTTTATGTAAAACAGCATACAAAATTGTTCCACTTATAAGGCTATTTTCAATTTTGATCTAATTTCAAATGAATAAATTGTCAAAATAATGCCTACATGCAGGCATATTTTCTGATTCAATTTAAAATTACTAAATTTAAAAATCATAGTTAACTTAGTTTATACATTTAAATATTATTTCTTTTACAATAACATATTTCATGAATAACCAGAAAGAAGTGATACTTTTTAAAACTTGCAAAATATTAATATGATACTATCTTTTGAATTATAGATCATCTTAATATCTAATACAGAATTTGCCTTATGTAATACGTTTGTGCTTCATTAACATCTACATATTTATTTAAAAGACCATACAATTTTTAATTTGTTAATAGATTTATTTTGGTAAGTGTATATATACATTCAAAGCATTTCCATAATTAGATGCATGATTCAACAGACTAGCTATAAAACATAAAAATGAATTTATAATAATAAAGAAAAATGCACATCAAAACAAGGGAAAATACACAAAGGGAAATAATTGTCTCTTTATTTCCACTGTGGTCCCTGTCATTGGTGGTTTGAAACAAAAGGGTATGTACAAGTTTGTCAATAACATAATGATATAAGTAACAATATCATGTTGATTTTTTTATTATCAGCAAACTATTTTTTCTTAGCATTTAATATTAAAATTTTGTAGTACCTTAAAAATTAAATTCACTTATGTTTTAATGTATATTTTAAAGTGCCACGTAGTTTTTCCTTGATATCATTTTCAAACATTGCATATATTTTGTTTTAGGCCAGGTTGAGCCACAACCAAGTTCTATTTCGTCATTCCTGCAAAATTGTATGACTGACGGCATTTAAACTTGTACGTTCATGTTCCATTCTTTAGCCTCAGTTTGTAATCAAATTTTAGGATGTTAATTTGAATAGGATAAAGTATACCTCCTTCAAAGTACCAATTTCGCTTAGACAATATCTGGACATCATATAGTACATGTGTGTATAAATTGACACGAAAACTTGTAAAAATACAGCGATCTTATTTCTCAGTTTTGATGAAATAGAAACCTGCACAAATATATATTATAAAGACAAATAAAAAGAAGAAAGTATAAAAACACGATATAACTCCAGTGGGAATTGATATTTCTTGACTGAAAATGAACACTCTTCAAAGGAGATTATGTATCTAACATGTTTATCCAATGGTAATTAACAAAGCTTTGTTTGATTTCAATTTGTATCGAACTTATTTTTGTTCGATTGTGTTGGACTCTATAAGCTTAAAGATGCACTCTCTAATCCGTTTTAAGATCAAACTAGTACGTAGCAATGAGTGTAAAATATCTTATCATGCTCAAGGAAATAATGGCTTGCCAATTTACAAACGCACTAACCACTCAACCATGCCGCTACATTAACTATAACTTAATTGAGACTTTTATGTATCTTGATTGAGAACAAAATGGCGTTAACGTGAATGAAATGATTATAGATTGTAGACAATCAATATACATCAAGCCATGTGAGATTACACAAAACACATATTATTAAGATAGAACGGGTGGGGTAAAAATGAAAGAAAATATATCTTACCTTAATCATTCTTCTTTTACAGCTATGTTTTAATATGGTGATCCTTTGCACCTGAATGATATACTGCTTAAGTTTTAATTCTTATAAATCCGATATTTCTGTGACACAGTTTTAGAGTTTCAGTTTTGGAAAGATCTGAAGAAATAGTGATCACTTAAGAAACCTTCCTTTTAATGGTTTCTTTCCTTTCCGTCCCGGTTGTCCCGTCAAAATAAAAGAACGTATGGTAATCGTTTATGAATATCAAAGCTTAAAATGGATGCTTTATAACCATCATGGATATAAAGTACCTATTTACTAAGTTATGTCTTGTTCAGGAAAAGCTTTTGTCAAATTCATTGTAAATATCACGCCACCAAATTATTGTCAAGTTGACAAGTTCTTACTATTTTTAGTTTTGTTTGGGTTTTCCCATTTTATTTTTAGATGATACGTAAAAAAAAATATCGGGTATCCAATATTTAGCAAGCGTAGGTGTACCTGATTATAACGGATCAGAGAGGTTTAAAATAGTTGTATCATAGTTTGGGGACCTTTCTGTTGAAAATGTGTCAGATTTAAATCGTAACCTATGCGTTACCTCGAGTGCAGGTATTAGTTGCACGCACTCCAAAGCGTGCCCATTTATTCGCTCATTTTTTCTGGGGTTTACTTATTGTAACAACAGAGAAAATAATAGTGATAGAAGCGAAAACACGACAGGGTACAAATAGGCCACAATAAATTATGGATTTTTAGAGTAAAGGATAGATAAACTTTAATTGACGACTATAACGCGTGCGTTTTAATCAAGATAACGTTTAAGTACCTTTATGATTCATGTAGTATTTCAAATTAACACTGGTTATTAGTGATAAGGTTAATACAATAAAGTGAAGAAATATTTTGTGTTCTGCACAAGGTTAATTACTTGTCTTCTAAACAATTTTGTAGTATCTGTGTTGCTTAAAACATTTGTCCAAACGGTACCATAATCATACGGAAGCCCTGAAGGGACATTTATTATTTAAAAATTATTACTTATTACCTATTCTTTATAACTTATCACTTATTATTTACAGATTATTACTTATGTTTAGTATTGAACTGCGTCATGTTTGGCAGGAAAAATCTCTGTTTACATCAAGACAATTACTTGAAAAGATGAAGGAGAACCGTGCCGTAAGAACATCATTTATTTAAGGTCATATTTTACGGAAGTCATGGAAGGAAAATTATTATTTATTACTTATTATTTATTAATTAATATGTTGAACATAATTATCAATTATAATATATTACTTATTATTTATAACTTATTATCTATCACTTATTATTTATCACTTATTACATATTTCAGTCGAATATATCATTTAAAATCTGTGTATGTTGTAGTCTGATTATATTAATGTATGCAATAAATATGTAAAAACTAAATACTTCTTACATTTTATGTAACTAAGATTATTTAAGTTATTAATAATAAGTAATAGATAATAATTGATGATTATGTTAAACATATTAAGTTAATAAATAATAATTTTGCTCCCAGGGCTTCCGTATTATATGACCTTCTATAAATGATGTTCTCCTTCATCTTTTCCAGTAATTGTCTTGATGTTAACAGTTTTTTCCTGCCAACCATGCCGTTGTTTAATACTAAATATAAGTAATAGTCTGTAAATAATAAGTGATAAGTTATAAAAAATAGTCTACAAGTAATAAGTTTTAAATAATAAATGTCCCTCCAGGGCTTCCGTATAATCATGATTTATATTCAAGGTTAGAAACATATAATTGTCTTTTGATCGTCTACGGAGAACAAAGGCCTGTGAACAACCAACTTGTGTGCAAGATAAGAAGGGACTCAATTACTCCAATTAGATTTTACACGAAAGAATTTTCTATACTTTAAATCAATAACTTGTGTGCAGATATAAATTCAGGTTTATTTCTAATAATGGTCCGTATGTTTTATGCAGTATAGATAAACACTTTTTGATCTTGTTTGGTTTCAATGTCGCCTGATAAAAGTAACAAATACACTAACTATAAAAAGCAGTTTGAATTTTATTCAAAATGTATTATCGATTGACAGAACACTTACTGCTTACATGCATACACTTCTAAATTAAAAAAAAGTAATAGGCCTTTATACATTTAGATATTATGAAACATCTACTACCTTTCATAACGTTATACTGAGAACCTACAGAAAGAACAATGCTATGTAATAACTTAGCTTCACATACATAAGTAGGTAGAATGTTACCATTTGATCGTACATTTATGCATCATTAGTAAAGGTCCCTTTAATTTTAAAAACTTTAAACATGCGAGTGCGTGCATGTGCGCGTGCTTATGTGTTTGTTTAAGTGCGAAAAAAGACGACCTACCATTTGTAGTCAGTCAATTTAAATACTCTTCAAAATGGAAGTTATCTTAAGGATGGTGATACTTTAAGAATATCGACTATGAATAGCTTGCAATCTTGTTCTACTTTTTATTTGCAAACAATGAGTAATTTCTAGTAAAAGTAATAACTATTTTTAAAAAAAAATGTAATATATGAAATTTAACAATCCAAACCTGTTACAAAGGACTTAATGACATAAAATGAAGTCATCACATATTTAGGACCAACGTAGTCCTAATAACTTTATCCTTAAACATAACAGCTGCACATTTCATTTCATCATAAGGTCGTGTAGCAGACTGATAAACGCTTGAGAGTAGGAAGCATCCATTTTCTTTTTTAAAGCCCGTAATATGATTAGCTTTTATTAGTTCTCCAACAAAATGAAATTATTACAGTATATATAAATGAAAGTCATACCAGTCATATCTGACGAGAATTAAACTGTTGTCGTATATGAACTATAATTTAGTCTTGAAAACAATTAAAATTAAAGTCACGAAATAATCATTATTATAAACTGTGCATAATAAGTTAAGTGAGGCTTATGATATGGTACGCTTTCTTCATAATTAGACCATGAACATTGCTTCATAAATTACCAACTTGATGTATAAATACGTTGCAGAAAAATTATTCAAACTACAACAAATATCAAATACACCGTATTTTTTATCGCCATACTTTTTTAGTTTCTCAGAGCAGTGAATTTATTGATACTTGAACGATTGGAATCGAGATAGTATTTAAAATTAAGTTCAATCATTCAAACCAATCTGAGAATCAAGTAACAAATGCTTTCTTTCGTCTTTGTTCATAACTTCAACCATTCCAGCAGTTTTTAAGCATTTGGCTCCATGCTTGTTAGATTTATCTGCCTCATTGCCAACAACTACTTCTTCTAAATGCTGTAGACAGTAAAACGGATTTCTAGTTTTTAATTTTTGCAACGGTTAAATCTTTAAAAAGATTAACAAACATTGTACAAAGGTAATACCCTTAAATGAAATTGTAAATAAACACCAGAATTGTTACAAACTAAATCCTTACAATGAAAATATTTAAACTCGTTCTCAAAATTTCATGAAAAAAGATGTGCATTGTGTTATGGTTACTGATATCATACAATGTTTCGAGTGCAATACCCAGCATTAAATTTCGTGGGCGTAAAATGTTAATGTTAATATCTTAATTGAACAATATCAAATATTAGTATAATAAATGAAATCATTTTCATCACTCTGGATTACAACACAATTGCAATATTGCATGGTAAAGATAGGTGTAAAAATCACATTAAATTAAACTTTAATAATTCAACATTCATACAAATTGAGTTCACATACTGCTGCAGCGAATACTTACACACATTGATATGTCTTTTTGAGATCTAATCACCTAGATTTATGAAACAAATTTGTACGAAAGAAAAACGTTTATTTCTCATTTTTTATTTAATGCTACATCATTCCAAACTAGGAACATGCTATTAAAATGTGTTTTTTTTTTTATTGAAATACAATTAACTTTTCGGTCCATGTTTGCAGTATGTAAAACTATTCAGTTCATTATGAATCTAAGATATATCATTAAATTCTTGTTTTTATGTAATACAGCAAAGAATTCCTATTTTGTTAAAAAAGAAAACATAAAAGAAGACAAGAAAAAGTGAATACATCAATAATATTCATACAAATTACTGTTACTATTGAATAAATATTTTTTTCTAAAAATAAATTAAATAGTTTTGAGAAACCAATAGTGTTGGGAAACCAGGAGTCAAATAACGTGCATCTAAGAATAAATTTGTAAAGATCTATATATATTAGATTTACCGTTTAAAATTTGAATTTAATGTTTTTTATTGACAGATTGATCTCATCAGAGCTTCTTCATATTGTAATTGCGTTTCCTTTGAGATTCTGTTGAGACTACATAAGCCTAATCAAATGACGCGAAAGTCACATAATTAAATGTATTATATCTGAATTGATAAAAATCGTAACAATGTCTTACACTGAGAAATAAATAGTATTATTTGACTAGTATATTGATAGAAATATGTGAAATAATTGTTTAACTACATAAATGTGAGGTAAAGCTCTGCACGAAATATAAGCTCAGTTTAAGTCTTTACGTATACGCATCTTACTATTTTATGTTATTCTAAATAATAGCAAATAATCTGAATAAACAAATAAATATCTTCCTTTGAATATCCCGTTTAAAAACCTTGCATCGGATCAGGAACACTCTTGTAGTACAGTAAACTAACCTTTGAAACATTTACAAGGTATGTTATCTATCGTAGTAAACCGACATTTTCCGTTTAACTTCGTTATTTGTTATATTAGCATAGTGCGTAAATAATGAATTATGAATAAATCTTTTCATTTAAATAAAAACAGGATTTTTCACATTTTTTTATTTATAAATCATGTTTTACATATATATATTGACTTTATGCGTTACATTTTATAAACCGGATAAACCACATTTCATGTAATGTTACATTGACACATTATATAACAAATACTAGTACCTTGTTCTTGTGTAGAGTACGATATTGAATAAAAATATATGTGCAATAGTCGTTTATAGACTCAAATTAGATTGGTATGATCTGTTCTAATATTAAACCAACAAACGTTTGGCAAATACACACCATTTTGTTTTTGTTTTGCTGGTGCCCGATGCAATGTTATAGAAATACGTATTGAAGCCCCTATTTTCTAAAATCATAATTTGATAGGTTCATATGGCATGTTAAACGTTGCAATATTTAATAAATTAAATTTTTGTTCTACATCAAATATTTATATTGTATAACTCTAATTTTATATTTTATATCATAATATTTATTCAATCCTGCTGAATATTTGTTCACCATAAAAAGTATTGAGTGCGATAATTTTCTATATGTGTGTTCTATATTTGAAAATGTACATTGTTTAATTAAAAATATTTATTGTATAGTTCTACTGAAAAATATGTATTCGATAATTTGAATCATGGGATAGAACACTTAGCATATAAAGCCCCGCCGTTGCAGCCTATAAATTAAGCAAGAATTTATGATAAAGCGTGATCATCCTGATTAAACTATAAATTGTTGTGAAAATGATCAGCGTCCCGGTGAATGTCATTTGTAAATAGTGCATATGCCTAATCCTTCTTATGAATATAAAATGTATGTCTAAAAATTGAAACTAATTTTAAAGTGTTCAGGACATACAATAGTATTATTATGAATTTTCATTTATATACCTAATAATTAAACCGCGATATGAACCCATGTGATGATATTACGTAAGATGAGTAAAGGATCATCTAAATGTATATATATTACTGATAAAAAAGAGAGCCCTTGGAAGCATTAAAAACAGCAAACTTACGTAAAAATTGCAGACTCGGTTTAATCGAGTCTGTAAATGAGGGATAATGGAAAGTGCAACATCCCTCACGCCCCTAGCATCGGCTTGAGCGGTACTCATTTCTAAACACCTAAAAGTGCTGGATTCTTTTCTCGCGAAGGGTCAGAAAATAGCTGACAATCGGATAATCTGCATTACCTAAATGTACATGTTCTGTAGTTCTGACAATATAAATGATATTTAAAATACCTCTTTATAGTATAAATAACTATATTGGGGGTATATTATGGATATTATCGTTAATGTTGGTAGAATGTCAGGTTCATGTGGATAAAGTGATTTTAATTAGGAAACTAATGACTTTCTAGCTTGTTTGTTTACTTCCTGTCTTTAATCGGCAAATTGTATTTCAGTAAACGTCGCATAATTCATACTCAAATTGTAATTTTAGTTCGACTTTTAGATTGTGAGAAGCAGTGAATGTGTATAAATAAATAAGATCGGGATCCACAATCTCTGGACTGACAGATAATCGTACAATTTTTCATTTTGATTCGTGATTATTCGAGTACTTTGATACTCGCCCAGCCCTATTATACATCTTAAATACCCCCTTGTCATCTAAGGTGACCCCTCATAATTTTTCCATAACAACTTATGTATATGTACATTTAGATGACCTCCTGCTAATCTTACATTATCCCCTCATACATCTTCCATAAAAAAACTAGAATATATGTTCATTAGATTATCTCTTGGTCCTCATATGTCATTCCACATATATCTCTCAAGTGCACATACATGATCTTTTCAGCCCAGTTAATCAAGCACAGAAATCAAAATCATATTCAAGAATAAATTACAAATGTATTACATAATGAAGGTCACTTTGTTTCTTCTTCAAAACTACATCATCGCTTTAGTTGCTGTTCTCTTCTGCTTCATATTTTCATCGTCTTCTTCTTTTATTAGCAACGATTTTAATCCCTTTATTTATTTTTCCTTAGGAAAGATTTTAGATGCTAGCATTGGATTTTTATTCACCAAAATCTCGTGTATTTTAGACATTTTGAGACAAATATTAAACAAATGTCTCTCTTTGAAGGTCGATTGTTTATTCCGGGACAATTCATGATAAAAACGGGGCACTTCACCAACAAACATAGCTACGACTTTTGGAGAATGTCCTTCATTTGTTACTACAGGACCACCAGATAGTCCTTGACCCATAAAAGTATCCACTTTTATGTACTCGTCGCTTTCAATACCTGAATATCCGAGATCGACTAGTCGTTCATCTTTATTTTGATTTCGCAAGTCCTCTTTGTAAGCCATTTCATTTTGAGACAAGCTTACACGGGCGTCTGTGAGCCGCTGTGTAAAGTCTTTAATATTTAACTGACATGTTTCTTCTTGTTTTTCATTAGAATTAACCTGATGACCAAACCCTATTATTGTTCCTTTCAATTTGTCCGAAGGAGACACATTATGTCTCCACAGCAGAAATGCTTTCGGAAATTCTGTCTGAAGATGAACATCCTTAATGTCAAGGATCGCAAAATCGTACTGCTCATCATGAAATACATATGTAAGTCGAATTTTGTACTTATGTAGATTGTTCACATTTTCATTAAAGTTTAAAGTTACATTTTCATGATCAATCAGTGAAAAATCGAAGTTCCCACTTAAATCTGCAAAGAAAAGGTTTCATGAAAAAATAATAAATAAATATAAAAATATACATTGTATATGTATGATGAATTAAATCAATTTACTTAGTTGGTAAAAAAAGAAATGCTAAAACATGCACTTATATTCATCTATCATTTAGCTTGTTAAACGCCATTTGAGAGGGTAAACTTTTCTAAATTCATTTGCCATCTTTTTTTATTAAACATTTATAAACTAAAGTAACAAAAAAAATATTCTTATATTTTCAAAGATATAGATATAATATATGAAATCAAACGGTTTCAACCTTTTACAATAATCTTTATGACATGAAATGCTGTGATCACGTAAGAAGGACCAATACGAAAAGCAGTCCCAATAATGTTATCCTTGTACATTACAGCTGCACATTTCTTCATAAGGTCATGTAGCTGTCTTATATAAGCTTCTGAGTTGGTATCATCTGTTTCTTTCTTACATTCCGTAAAATGTATCCTGCCTGCTAGTTAACAATGACGATGAAACTTAAACAGTATATATTTTTGACATTTTAATCTGAAACTGACTTCACTTTTATTTTATCAAAACTATTTTAGTCTTTAAATTATTCAATGAGGAATGACATTTATAAAAATAAATGTGACAGAGACTTCTATTCCAGATCGTATTTATATTTAAAACTAATAATAAAATCACTGTGTCAATGTTTTCTTTAAGTTGTGAGACACTTGAAATGTATAGATTTTGAAATTTAATGTTTGATGCAGTAATAATGATTAAGTTCTTCCTACAGTTATATTGAATTCTTTAAAGTGACTACGTTCTCTGTTTTAAGACAATTTTCATGAGACTTGTCTTATATTGTCAATTAATTTAGTTCTTCTTACCCGTCTCAGAATAAGGTAACAAAGGCTTTGTTTCGTCTTCACTTGTTACTCCTATAGTCTCTATTGTAACTTTCTGTATATTGCCACTGGTTGATGTTGCTGAAAATGTTTTCAACATATCACTACAGGAATTGTGTGTTTTACAACAGTTATAATATTTTAGATAACAATGTACCGCCTTAGAATTTTACCAACATAGTTCAAAAGTAGGCATCTATAAATAAAACGGCCAATATACATTATATCGGTAACTACGCTTTATATATTTCATCCTCTTTTTGGCTTGTCTGTTTTTTATTTTGTTTAATATAAGATTTTCTGTTTTTGTCTGTCAATTTTCATAATGACACATTATTATGTACAAAACACTTGATTAAAGACTTATTGTGTTGCAATCTTAAATGGTACCGCATGTGTGTTTGCTTTAAATCTATATACGAAGATGCGTGATCACGCTAATAACGCTTTCTGAATAATGGATGTATACGTTTTTTAATTTGATTTTAATTAAGGCGATCAAATATGAACTAACAACAATATAAAACATGGTAGAAGTTTACGACTGACTATGTACAGATACCAAAGAATATTAATTTTCGGTTCCAGCAAGGTGAAAACTGAAAGAAAATGTTTATTCCATAAATTGCTTCAATAAAAATATATACACATTAGCATTATTAAAATTAATTTTATACATTTAGTAAACAGCAAATACATTGTTAGCAAACATGGAATTTCATTGATAGCAGTGATAAAGTGCGTGCATTTTTATCAATCCATATTAACACATAGTTAACATGACGTCATTCACAACCGATGCATGCGGGAATAGTGTGGCTCATTTGTGCCATTCGTGTTTTCGCTCCGCGACCCCGCCAAGCGAAAAGGTCGATTATTAACAAATTTAAATGGAGGAGGCGCGGAGCATAAGTCGCTTATTAGTGGGGGCGCGGGGCAAGATTGAGGAAATAAATCGGCGGTGCGCGGAGCGAAAACACGCTAATAAGTGTGTATTCGTCCCGCGACCCCGTAAAGCGAAAAATCGAGAATAAACAAGTGAAAATGCGGAGGAGCGGAGCAAAAATACGCTAGTTAGCGAAGGCGCGGGGCGAAGTTTATTAGTTAAACTTCACCCCGCGGAGGTGCGGAGCTCGATTTAAGAAATAAAACGGCTGGGCGCCATACGAAAATAATATCGAAAGGAAATCATATCGTTTAACAATAACAGATAAAACTAGACCCAGAAGAAAACGCAGGCAGTTTGACAACTGTGTCGTAATCACATCAAAATCTTGTATCAGTAGATTAACTTAATTATAATGAATTAATTGTCAAAACAAAAGAAAGAAATATTTCATTCACCTTTTTCAGCTGCAAGAGGAACTGTGTCATCTTCCGGATTTCTGAACTTTTGATACTTGTAATACATAATCACAATTTTAACGCAAGATATCATTTATTTAAAATCATATTGTATATAAAATAGTTATGAATTTGGTTATGTATAAAATAGCACGATAATTAAATTCATGAATAATTTAGGTCTTTACTGGCAAAACTGTTTTAAAATATATTTATACAAGCATAGTATGCACAGTTTATTAAATACACCAATTAAAAACATTGACTACGCTGCTTAATTTGTTCAATTGATCTGCCCAGCTATAGATAAGGAACCGGTCATATGAAAATGAAAAAGTTTCAATAAAGAAATACACACATGGAGCGATAATGACCGATTTGTAACAATTGACCAGACATACCCTGAAAGTTAATGGTTAAAATAGTACATTATATATAAGAATAATTTGCATAAGGAACACTTACATTTTTATAATTTATTTCATTAAAGAAATATATGTTTCTTTTAAATGCAATTTTTATTATTTCCCTTTTCCTTCTAGTTGTTTCAAATGATGTATATACCTACAGAATGTAATGCAATTTGTTGTTCTGGATGTGTTTCGTTGTAATGGTAAGTATTATTTGTTATATTCACAGTTTCTGTATTGTCGAATGTTATACGCTGATCATTCCGGCTCGATTTATTTCTGGTAACACTTGGTGAATCATTACTCGATGTTCCTGAACTAATCTCACCTATTAAAATTGTTAGATAGTTTAGAGACATATTGATCGGAAACATGTTTTCGTAACGTTTACTTATATGTTTCTGATGGCAACTATTACACAATGTTCCTGACTTGCTCTCACCTGCTTAATTTGTGGACTAAGCTTTTATTGATTTAAGCCTGATTGTGAAACAAGTTCTTGCAATCATTATTTATGACTTTCATGTCCGCTTCCTTTAACTAATCAGTACTGGTGTCATATTCATTAACATGGTCGTGACGCAAGCATGGATCGAATCCATAAAGTCTCGGTTGAAGGATTAATGTGTTTAATTTAAAGATTCTGTAACTCAATTTCTTTATGGTTTTTTATCATTAATATAATGCTCAAATGAAGATTTATTAAAAGTGTAAATTCCAAAAAGCATTATTGGTAAAGTTTTTAACGAATTTACATTTTCATGTTAATAAAGGGGGGTAATTAAAGAATTATTTTCTATAAAGTTTAAGTGAAATTTTTCAATAAGAAATGAATGCATATATTTTAATGATAACATATTATGTGAACAAAAATTTTCAGTATGAATTTTACATATTCTTCGATGTTTGATAATTGTTTTAGAAGCATAATTATATACATATATATAACATTTCACTTAAGTGTGATACATGTAGCAACCTTAATTACAGCATACAGGATCTTTAATAACACATTCACGCTCCAGCAGTAACACAAACTAAATGTAGAAGTACACATATTAATAGAAATAACACGTGTTTATTTAGTTGGTAATTACTTATACATCCAAGACAAACGGATAGAAAATAATTTCAGTAGAAGGAAGCTATTATGTTTCAAAGATTAAATTCATAATGGAAAGGAAATGACATAGAAAGACAAAAACTGCCGAGAACCGTAGTATCACATTTCTATTTTGATTTATTTATCAAACGATAGCAAAATGAATCTATGCTATCACTTATTATCTGCCAAAAAGAAATATCTAGATTTAAGTGTGTTTTTCTGAAATTGTACCCTTTGGCAAAAAGCCTCTTGAATGTATTGTTACTAAAGAAGTATCGAAATACATTACCTTCAGTTTGTAAAATACATGCTGAATTTTTATTCATTAACAAGATATATATACTGATATAAACGTTTCTGTCAAATTCTGAGTGTTTCAGCTGCTATTTAATACCTAAACATATCATAATTGGAATTATTCGTACCTGTCTCACATGAAGAGGTTTCATGATATGCATTACTAGGTGTTTCTGTTAAACACTTTGGTTTCCCTGTAAAAGATATAATAATAGTTTTAATAGTGAACAGTGAACTAATTATTTCACTTTTTCGATTATAATAATTACTTTAGGTATGCTCAAATAAATGTTTATGTGGTTGCACGATTGACTTATTATTGGGAAATATATCAATATGGGACACTTACTTGAATTTAAAGTTTGTATTTACAAAATATACTTACATATATTGCGTCGGTAAAGAAGGTAAAGAATGAAAAACCCAACTGAAAAAAGAAATTGTCTTGAGTCTATAACTGCTAAATAAATTGAAACTTGATATCCATTCTTAAACTAAAGGATTTTGTACAATACAATCCTTTCTATAAAAATATGAACAGACAAACTGTTGTTGTCATTATCAAATATGTTATTTAATAGAGGATGTTTGTGTGTAAGGTGAATTTTTATTTCATCGAGTGGCCTTTAAAAACAGTATTCTTACGAGTGGCGTGCCCACGAGTTAGAATACTGTTTTTAAAGTTCACAAGACGAAATAAAATTACATCTTACACAACAAACAAACAAATTTTCTTTTTATTTTATGCTTAAAAACAAGTTAAAACGAAATTTCCACAACATTAACGTAATATCAAAATCTGTTTTCCTCATTGAGAGCCCCATTTAGTCAGAATTTCTCATAAAATACAAAAAGTCTTGAGCTTAAAAATAAGTTCGACAATCAACGTTAAATGACGGTGATATCATTCATTTTATTAAAAAATATGATGATCGCTTTTTTAATAATGAAAACAAACAGTTCTTGAAGGAGAAAAAGTCCAACCATCCATCCATATTTCTGTTACTTACTGCGAATTTATATTAGACCTGGCTTTGTTAAATGTAAGCGGCAGCCATTTTTTGAAGTTGTGTATTTCACGGGAGGAATAATTGTGTTTGATTCAGAGGGATATCATTTGGATTTGTTAGTCATACACCTTTTTAAAAGAAAGAAAACTTATTTGAGGATTGCAACAGACAAAAAATAAGTCTTGACAGATGTGAAAACATTCATAAAGCAGCTAGGGAAATGGAAAAAACTTGGAAGCTGGCTCAGGAACGCTGGGTTGTTTACTTATTCTACGGGCTTGATTGCTGTCATAGCTTTTCAATTTTTCATAAAGCATACGGCAGTTATTGCTCATAGGATACTTTAATATGCCAAAATATCATCAAGAGCAGTTTTGCATGTGGAAGGAATGTATTTTTCAGACTGTAAAAATGAAACAAAAAATTTAGAGACGAAATTGGTGATTGGAATTTGAATGAATAGAAGTAAGTTTTCTTCTTTTTATTACTTTTGTCATTTAAGTTATTTAAGTTATTTATCAATTTCAGCTTTGCTTTTTCTTTAAATAGCCTGACATTGTCAGAATTGTCAGCAAAAATAAAATTCAGGTACCACATGGGGAAAATCTCAAAAAAGTATTTTCGTCATTGAAAAGTGTGAAATTATATTTTGATAATTTTCACTGTGAAATTATCAAATAGAATTTTCACGGATAAATCAGTAATCCACTGAAAAGCATAAAATAAAACAAGTTATTCCACTAAATTAATAAATTTTAGTTTAAAGAGCAGCACGTTTTCGGTTTTAATAAAAATAATGTCAAATCATATATAAAACATGTCAAATTAACGACATTCAGAACATGAAATTAGCTTACCAGTCAAATTAGTTTTCACAATTGGTAATAAACCTTACGATGAAAAATACATATGTAATGTTATATTTTGATCGGTAAGTACTTGAATGTTATAAATACCTAGTATGAAGACCACAGGAATGAACGCCAAACCAATTATATATTCTTTGTGTTGTCCTGGTCTTGTTCCGGAACCCACATCTGGTTCTGTAATTGGAATAAGCCTTCAAACAAAACTTTGAAAGTATAAAGGTAATGGTTGCTCGAGGTTATGAAATTCAGAACACATTAGATTTAATCTATGTATGAGTTAAACAGTAACGTTCCATAGTCACATGGTATGGCTTTTATCAAAACATAAATTTAAAATTATTGCTTCTTTTAACTACTAAAAGCGTTAAATATATTTTTAATAAAAAGAAAAGTAATATAAATATATATATATTACTTATGTGTTGTGTATCGTTATTATTCACTCAATATTTACGCTATTGAATAATTTATTAATTTACTTATTTATTTATTTATTTATGTGTTTGTTTATTCGTAAAATTCTAAAGAATAGGTAAAATTTTTGAAATCGATTTTTTTTGTTCCCATCTAATTTTTAAGTAGATCTACAATTTTGATTTTCTTCAATAAGGTATCTTAAAAGTTCGTTCACTTACGTCATGATAGAAATGATGTTCCTTCCATTTATATGGAAGTTTGAATTTCGGACGGACTATTGTTTAAGAAATAATATATCCCAAACAGTGATTTTATCGCTCAATAACATCACTGTTTGGAGTTCGGATGCGACGAATTATATCACGAGGGCGTAGCCCGAGTGATATAATGATGCGCATCCGAACGAGAAACAGTGATGTTATCAAGCGATAAATTCACAGATTTGGATATATTATTTCGATTCTAACACGACATCAACAAAAAAAATGCTAACATACCTGATATTAAGCAAAATTGCGCCACTTATTTTCAGCGCGTCGGATTCTTTTAGTTGTTACGTCACATGTATAATGATTACGTCACATATCTAAATATAGAACTCAACTGTGACTTTATTGCATAATAACACACACTTTCGGTTCTTCTTTATTCAATAGCGAAACATGCGGGTCGTGTTAGAATAATAAATATTAGGCTTAGACAATTTCAGCATTTTTTGTACAAGAACTAGTTTTAACCAATTACCTATACATTTTTCAGTTTCTCTATCCTTCACAAATCCTGGATTGCATTGACAGACATACTTGTTAAAAGATTGTTTACATATTCCATTTTGACAAACCCATGAATCTCCGTCGCACTCTGCTGAAACAGTTTAATACAATTACTTACGTTTTCAATAAATAGGACCAATGTATCAACAGCGGACTTTGAGGTTTTTGTCTATTTCTATCTTTTCTTTATGTGATAAAATGCCGATTCAAGAGGAAATGGTGAATGTGCAACTAAAAGTTAAAATAACAATTCGTCATTTAAAAGTTATTTTTTATTTTACATAGGCAATACCCCATATGACCTAGACATTTTTCTATGAATTCGTCTTATTCTAATGGTAGCGTTTAGTTGTTAAAAGGAGGGGGAAGTCATATTATATTTAGGACAGTTTCTATACAAAACTAGAACTGTGTCCAAAGGACACGGATGCCCCCACTGACAACATATATATGGTATATAGGGAAAAAAATAACAAAGGGACATAATTCTGTTAAATTTGGTCGCAGCAAAAATTCCTTCCTTTACTACCATCTACACATTAAGGTTGTTCAACCCTGGAAGTTTAGGCAAAATCTGCCATCCGGTTTAAGAGGAGTTGCGTTCACAAAATGTCTATATGGTATATAGTGAAAAAATCATTAAAGGGCCATAATTATGTTAAATTTGGTCGCAGCAAAAATTCCTTCCTTTACTACAATCTACACATTAAGGTTGTTCATCCCTGGAAGTTTAAGCAAAATCTGCCATCCGGTTTAAGAGGAGTTGCGTTCACAAGATTTCGGGACGTACGGACAGGCGTACGGACGGACGGATGGACGGACGGACGGACAAGTGCAACGCTATATGCCCCCCCCCCCACTTTGTGGGGGCATAAAAATGTACTTTATTCAAAACATCTACCATCATAATTTATTGGTCTATTTCGATTATCGAAGCCAAGCGAAGTACATGTCAAATAAAGCTCAACTTGGCATACATTTCGACATTTGAGCATTATGTCCATCTCCGGAGAAAGGTTTACTTATAAAACGTTGGCAGATTACAGTTACTTAGTAAATTATAATAATGAAATATGAGGTTATTCTGAACAACGGGTAATAGCTTAAACCCATTGCAAACAAAATTTAAAACTAGTCAAATATGGGTTAAACATGTTTATTTAAGCTCGATATTATATTTAACACTTTTGAGTCCGCTTCCTGAAACCAACCAGTACTGGTCTCATATGAAAAAAACATTGTCGTGACCCGAGTAGAGCTCGAACCCATGATCTCTTGGTTGAGAGGCAGACACTTTAACCACTAGGCTACCGCTCGCCAAATATAAAACATCTAAGACTGAAACTAGCACATAGCTCGGAGGAAAGTAAATCATATATCGTTCAATCTTTTACGATTTATTCAAAGATACTGAACAAACGGTGTTATGGTGAATAAGATATTCATGCGCTTACATTTGTAGTAAAACTATATGAAATAATAAAAATACAATACATGTTTATGTAGCAGAGTAAAGTATCATACCGGTGTCCAAGTCAGGTTTATCTATAACTGTTATGGAATGTCCAATTCCAATCTGGTCCCTGGAAAAAATAAGAGATAAAATTACAAAAGAAGTATCCATTTTTTATCAAAAAACATTCACTCAAATACTTATATAGTGTGCAATAGATATTAAACATTCCAAGGGACCAGAAGTTGCCAAATTAATCAAATTCATCTCTTCAATTTCGTCACATTTTGTTAATATGATTAACCTACTGAGATTATAAGTAAACACTGATTGACTGTTACTCATAATTTGTCTGTAGTGCCACATACAGCCTTTTTCTTGATAAATGTAGACATTTCAAAATATTGCAAATTTGTTATGAAATTCTATTAAAATTTTAAAATTAATGAAAATATGTGATTATGTTTTTGATCCAAGATAGGTGGTGGTTTGATTAAAAATGAATAAAGATGTTCATTTATTTTAGATTCTAAGATAAGTAGAAGAAATTCCTGAAATAAGACATAGATAAATGAAGTCTTTGAAGTTCTATGTAATGAAATATATTTTATGTAATGTAAGATAACTGGAAGAAGTTCTTGAACTTATAGATAAATGTGTTCATTAGTTAAGACTGCAGTTCTAGGTAATGAACTATTTACCGGCAAGTCTGTTTGCAGATAAAGTTATCATGATCATCTCTACATTCATGTGGGTTGCAAGGAAGAACGCATGTTGCATCTACAATAAACACATTTTTTTTTTAAATTTTCAAAGCACCTGAAACAAAAATTAGTATGTTAATTTAACCGATTGGTCAGTAATTGTAAAACGAAATACCATTAAAAATATATTTACTATATTTCATTATATAATTTTTGCAAATACTGCAAATATCATTTCAATCGTCCTGAAATTTGATTCTAAATCATGCTTCAAATAAAACTTACTAGGCAAGGGTTCTTGTCCTTCTACACATGGGCTGTTCTTTGCAGCGTTTCCACTACAAAAATATGGTTCATGTTTACTTTCCCTGTCATAATCTAATAGAAGTCTCCCAGCTCTGTTATAATATCCTTCTTTGTAGTTACAATAGACAATAGTTGGAGAGATGTGGTTGCCTTCACTATAGATCAAATATTTTTCTTCAATATTTGTTAAATCTAAGTGCTTTGATCTGCATGCATTGATACAGTTGGAATTTGTTTCTTGAAAATAACCAGTAGGACATTTCTCGACAGTAACCTTAATCTTTGAAGGGTCCTCCTCGTCTTTCATTACTCTCCACCAATGACCTAAATGAAAAGGAGCGAGACTGAAACTTAAGTATTTGAGAATCACACTAAAAACCGAATTCCTGTATGCACTAGACAAGGCGCTTGAATCATTTAATATTTAAATTTCCCGCCCAAGTGCGCACTTTTAGACGGCTAATGAATCTCCTGACGCTAATTTATATACGATTATGAATAAAAAATATATAATTATGAATGAACAATGTATGAATTGCTCTAAAAGAAAGTATGAAAATTGCAAAATTGAAAAGCAGGACTCGTTTTAATTAAGCCTCCTCAAAGACTGCAATGAGAAATGCAACGGCCGACAAAGAAACATTTTATAGATGACTCATAGTTTTAAAAAAGTACATTTTAATTTAACAATAAAGCCAATAAAAATAAAATATACCATATACAAGCAAAGCATATTAATTGAACAGGGCAAATTTAAATAAAAAATTACTAATTTCAGATATTTTGAGAGATTTGATGATTTTTCACCATTGTACGATTGAAAGGACAGTCTTTGGACCATGACACATTTATTTTATTGTTAGCAGACATGTAAGGAAATGCAATAACTATCTTGCCAATTTTGTAAGAAAAGGAAAATCAGAAAAAATAATCTATTCTGTAAAGAAAGACAAAATCACAATTCAAAAGAAAGTTAAAGAGATTGAACATACAGCAACTAAAAGTTAGTTTGGCTTACCTTTCTCGCATCTAAGATGTACTGGAGCGCAGATGAAAGCCATTCCTTTTTCATTGTTGACACATAGAGGTGTGTATCCTGATGAACACATTTTCTTGAATTCGCAACGATCGATTAATAGTTGCATGTTATCACTTCCTTGAAAAGGGCAGGTCATATTTAAATTTGATGGGTTGCAGTACGGAGTGCTGAGAGACACAAAGGTTTGTATCTTCGAGAGACTTTGATCGTTTTCGGTTAGAGGTTGTATGTTCATGGCATCGGAAAGATAGGGTGACAGTAAAATCATAAACACCTGAATTTAGAAAAAGAAAAATTATTTAATCGTTTAATCTCTGTGAGTATTAATTACTTTGCAAAACAAGAGTATTTAATATGAGTATTTATTCACATACGTATTGGATAAACATTGTTATCACATTTGAATAAAATTAATCAAGTAAATACTAGTAAAGCAATATATCTTTAAATAAGTGAAATGGAAAAAACGGAATAAGCGCGAATGTTTACTTTTAGCTTGTTTAAAATTAATTAAAAGTGTTAATCATATATTTTGAAACGCTTATTCTAACGCGTTACAGACTTTATCCTACTAGTTATTTTTCATAAACTTGTCTCAGAAGATTCCTAACAGGCTCGCTGTCTCGGATGGTTTGATATAAGTAAATATGAAAATGGCAACTCTGTTAAGATATAACATCAACAGACATACGTATGTTTTAAAACGGATAGGGTATGTACAGGACATCGATCCATTTAAAGGAAGACTTCCTCTCTTGATGTCTGTTGAAACAGGCATTTTCTTTAAAGCATGCTCCATGTTCGACTTGAGATGCTCATATTCTAACACACGATGTTTTTTCGCCAAAACCTTTTGAAATATAACAATTCGAGAACAAAATCTGTTAAAAAGACACCGGAAACAAATTATAATAGTAGCATACATTGAGCAGAATCGCAAAGTAACATTAACTTTTGTTTTACCAAAAGTTCATTGCTTTACTTATAAAGTGTGTGTCTGATTTCAGATTGTAGGCAAAATGGAAAATATTATCATATGTAATTCACGATTAGATACATCAACCAATTTGAACATTCATTTAAAATCATCCAGTGGAGTACACAGTCGAAAAGCACAAATAAGTACATCTTAGTAACGCTTGCAAAAGTTGATATGCTTATATTTATATTTTTATTCGAACACATTTGCAATGAATGTAATAAATGAATAAAGACACTGTAAAGTTTTGAGATTTTGCAATTTCTTTTTGTTTCTGTATTGAAACATGACAACATTAACTTGGGAATTTTGTCAATATATCTTAAAAATTGTGGAAACCACGCTTCCTCAATTTAACATATCAAACCATTGAATCTAAAAACTTAGACTTTAATAACTGATCAAAATTAGGGAAAGGTTACAATCACATACCTTTGTAACTTGCGTTGAGCTTGAAATCTGACGAACATAACTGTCTGCTTCTTGGCTTTTTTCTTGCGGGTGCTCCTTTTGTACTAATAAGCGGTACTCGTCCTTAGGTGCAACTGATTCTGCTTCTAAAATTTATTTCAAATAATGTTTTTATTTTTGTGTGTTAACCTGATAAATGAGTATGAAAATTAAAATGAACAGTAAGTAAATGATTAGCATATCCATGTTTTTATGAATTTATATAATGTCGATGAACATTCATGGTCATTTATAAAAAGCGTTTCATTGATACCTTGTTTTCTTTGTGTCAAGTTCTTGAAGTCATTCAATTGTAACAGAATGGGTGTGTTTTCTTGAGCCATGTATTTTGTCCCATCATCATTTTCATTTGACGTGTTGGTATTGCTTGACACGGTATATACTATATACAAATGTGTGAGTTGGCTTTTAACCTAAAACATACAACCGTTTTAGAATGCATGTTGAGCAAATGTACTCGTACGGCTCTTAATTTGATATAGTTTTTATATCTTCTACATTATCTAAGTAATGACTATATTTTATAAATAAAAATGTATTCGATACCCATAAGCTTAAGGAAACATTTCATTATTATTCCAATTTGTTTAACGAATTTAAATAATTTAATTAGATGCATTCTCATATGCATATATAAAAATATATCCTACTAAGTATTGTATCATTAATTAAAATCATCAATATGCTGCTCTTTAAATAAAGTAAGTATAAAATGAAATGTATACCATAATAGTCAGGTCGTTGTTTTTGTTTTTTTTTTTTCATGATATCATTTTATAACATAAAAGAATGGTGATATAACTATAACATGAATGACATGTTGAAATTATCACCAAAACAATTTAATCAAAAGACATGTGAACAGTTAAGGAAAAGCAAATTTACAAAAGCTATATGTTTCCAAACCACCAAAAACTGCACAGCTGATATAAATGAAATCATTTCCTTTTATATATTTCTAATTAGTTATTTCAAAAGTAGCAATCATTGAAGGTTGTTAACAAAGTAAATGAGACAAGCTAGGGCAATATTAAAGCTGCCATTCATAACCATGTAACTTTTCCCATGAAATAAATAAAGTTAAGTTATGATGATAGCAAAGTCTTTAAAATAATATTTTGCGCCAAAGATTTTAAAGCTATATGCATTGAGTATCGAAAAAAAGTGGATACTGCACTACAATAAGGAGAAAAAATAACATACACAAAATGGCATTTGCAATGAAATTCAACATTTGAGACATTGAGACAAGGTTAGGTATCCTCCAAGCCTGTGCATAACAAACACACAGAATTTGATGATTCAGAAAGTATTATAATAAAACCATAGCAAATATATATACATTTCATGCAAGGAAGGAATACTAAGAGGATAGTTTTTCGTTTGGGTGAAATATGGAGCATATTTTCAAGAAACATAAAATTCCATATATTTTCACGAGCCGGGACAATGAGTAAATATAAAGAATTCCATCATGTTAAGTGAAGATAAATTCCATTCTTCAAAAAAAAAAGAAGAAAAAATAGCAACCTTATTGTATTATTTTACCTTCAAGAAAAACGTTGTTTACGAACACATCTATTTTCTGCGCAGTTGCAATTGTACAGCGCGGAGTAATACATAGATTATTTATAGGTGCGTGACGCGCTTCGAATTCATACTGTCTTGAAAAAAAATTATATCCAGATAATGTCTGTCAATGATGAAATGAATAGCTGAAGCTACTCATTGTAAAAGAGAAATAACTGAAAAAGTAGTCCCATCTTGGTTCCGCCCATTTTAATATTTATTTTCATAATTGTTTTTCACAAATATGCTATATATTTGGCTGATATAGCACCATATTTCATGGGTAAAATTAAATTAAATGTAAAATTTACAAACAATATAGTAACAGAGAAACATTTGAAAATACTAGTTGCATAAAAGAAGCATACATGTTTATACTGTTACAAAACCATATTAAAACTAAGAAAAAGAAGCCACAGTAATATAAACAAACAAAAAGGTCATAACAAGACTTCGCGCTCACCGGCTCTTGTGACACAGTTTTACATCACTTGACATACTCAAATAGGTTCCAGATTTCTAAATGTTAAATTGGAAAGTATACCATTAGTCAACGATAATAATTATATTTATAAGAGTGTCGTTGTCTAATGAACTCATGTCCTATCCAATTATAGAAAATCAGAAAGCAGCAATTTGGAAATTTTACGTACGAGCTTTGTGTTTGATAGTGGATCCTCTGTGAGCTTATGAGTTATGAACATAAAGAAAACATTAACAATGAAATTTAACTCATTAGATATTTTATATGAAGTTTTCTGAATATTGCATTACTTGAAAGCGTTAACGCGTTTACGTTTTCGATAAAATAACACAATGATGCTTTTTAACTCTTCTAAATCGTATAATTCGGGAATCCGAGATATAATTCTTAAATACAACAAACACATTTTTAAGAATCCGTTGTCAACTGTCGGGATGAAGGTCCGTTTCAGGGTCAAAAATTGTTCCTAAGTATTGTCTATTTGATTGTTAAGCTTATTGTTGTTGTTTCATGTTTTCTTTCATCACAGACTGTTGAAAGTTTAAGTCATTTTGTAAAGATGAACTCAATAATTATCTTTGTATAATTTTATAAAAATTGGTCCACAGATTATGGAAACGCTGTGTGCAAAGATTATTATATTTTGTGACTCTAAAATGTTTATTTCTGTATAAAATATCTCATCATTAGAAGAAAGGGTGCCGGTCAACTTGTTTTGTTTTTTTTTAATTTCAATTTCATGTGACCATCTTATTAATACTAAAATATTACGTTAAAGTGGCCAAAGTTCATTTTTTCATTGTCAAGTTGAGCTGAATTGACTATTTAATTTAAAAGATTGACTATTATCTGTAATGGTGATTGACAAACAGTTGGTATTGAAAAATGTTTCGGATTAAATATAAATCTGCCTTAAATATAAAAGGAATTCCCCACTCTTTATATCGATTGAACGATTCATGTACCAGGTGAGCTATTAACCGTTTATGAGAAGTAAAATATAAATTGAAAGGAATTATGGCAAAATGAAATGTAAACTAATATCGACTTTAACCTGTACACGCACTATATACCATTAGATAGACATATTTAATCATAATCACTTTAATAATAATTGACAGTAACAAATCATGTAAAACAGAAAATGTTGTTCATTATTTATCTCTATCTATAACTTGTGACACCATCCAATGCAACGGAACCAACTGAATCTATATTTATATCACATCAGGATCATCAAAAACGGTTCTGGTTAAGTTCGTGTGAAATAGCTAGACTAAAATTATTTATACAGTTATATCATAATATCAGAAAGCAATATGAAAAGACAAAAAATCAGGTAAACAACTTTAAATTCTTAATAAAAATGTAACTTTATTTTATAGCATTGTCATATGAGCGATTAACTACAAACTGAAAGTGTTTCATACTGTTTTGAAGAACATCATTCGTTTGCATGTGCGACTTAAATAATCAGATAAGGATAATTATAATAAAAATATACTTTACTATTTTACTACAATAGCGAAGACGCATTCAATACCGATTTATATTGACATATTAGATAGGTTTGCCTCGACACTAACTTTTTTAGCAGGTGGTACGCCGGACCACTAGATTTGAACGTTAAGTGGTCCTTCCAGAAGTCAGGTGGTCAGTTATCATTATTATATCATTTTACTGCAAATGTAGAAAAAAATGTTAACTTTATGACAAAGATGTATTATTAACCTTTAAAGAAAACAGATATTTTTAGATATATATTTTTCATCTAATCAGAAAAGGGAGAGCAAGTCAGTAGGTATTTTATCGTAGAGTTATTTGTTTATTTGTTTTTATCTCAGTGAAAAATACACAACAGAGCTCTTATTTATGTTAACTTTTATATTAAAGTGATTTCTCCCTCAACTCAAGTTAGGAAATAATGAAGCCATTTGTGTCTGTTATTTTCTTACTGTTATTCAAATATTCATTGCTGATACGTGGTATGGCTTATAATCATGATAATAACATAGCATCTTTTATAGTTTAACATTTTCAATGGAACTAATAAATTATCTCATTCTTGTCTTTGAAAACAAGGAAATATCTTAATTATTGAAATAATGACAACGTTATTATTTACTCTAACTTATCTTATTTTTCTCACAGATTTATCATACAGAATTTTACTTCCTAGTTGCTTGTTCGTTGATATTCATTTTTGACATTGGGTATTTTTAACCTTTTGAAATAATTTTGACTCTAGAAGAAACAGATCTCTTATCGTTAAACAGTTAAAATAAAGATAAATAGCATAGAATTACTAGATGTATTTTTCCAGTTCCTTTCGTTTGCTGCCGTTATTCAAGTATCTGAAATTTAAGTTTATCCAATATCATATAATTACCATCATCGGATACTCACGGTTGATTAAAGCCCATCTCACACAGGACACACGGCTTACACGGTTGGCCACCCGTGTAAACCGTACATACAACCGAACTAACCGTAGCGTTATCCGAGTTACAATCGGGCCATTCGAGTGTATCCGTGTAAGCCGTGTATGATTTTTAAAACTTTTAAAAAACTGGTACGGATGCCATGTCCGTGTATGACCGTATAAGCGACCGTACAATACCGTAAGAGACCGTGTGAGACCGTATGAGACCGTATATACAGCCGTATGTGAAGTCCAATCCACGAGTGAGCCCAACCGTATCAATGTCGTATATAAATCGTATGGAATCGATCGGAGACCGTCCCAAGTCCTACATCCAACACCCGATTAACACCCGAATGTCACAAGATCACGGTACGATTCAAACGAGTGCACACACGGTTTCATACGATCGTCATACGACCAATACGGTTCATATACGAAACATACATGGCCGACACGGTAAAGTACGGGTATACAGGGTCTCACACGGCCTCGTACGTTCTAACACGGCCTCAGCAAGAACGTTACAAAACACAACTAACTGCTGCTACCCTACCAAGAGTACTTGCTGCATCACACTAGAATGTTTCCAAAGAAGAAGGTTTGGACGCATGGAAGGAATACAAGAAAAGCCATATCCAGGCCCACCGACCACTCCAACTTATTGACTCTGATAAGCTGGAGGACCAACCGACAATAACCATGTCTCCCAGGGATTCAAACTCCAATGCCAGCTCGGTGGACCCTCCAGCAACCGCTGCACCACAGAAAAAAAAGGCACATTCATTTTATATTTGTTCACCATTTTATTCATTTATTGATGTTAATGATCTATATATAGGTGTTCTTCGCTGAAATTTCGAAAATTCATGAAGCCAAGTCATCAAAATGGGTTAATTTATATCAAAACATACACAAATGTGTGATATTTCGAGCCTAACTCGAACAAAAGTCGGCGGGACCCTATGTAAACCCTGTGAAAGTCGAGTAAATCGAGTAAAAGTCGTGTTTAACCGTACCAGACCGTACTAGACCGTACTTGGAACTGTACAACAGTCGTATGTATTCGTATGCAAATCGTGTTCAAACCTTGCTTGACCGAGTTATTCCGTGCTCAATTCGTACATACTCGTGCTATATTCGAGTCTAATTCGTGCCAACTAATCCACAAGCACGGCTGGAGCTCAAAACTCGTACCAGTCAACCCGTGTATAACCGAGTATACCGTATGGGAATAGTGTGTCCAACCGTGTTTTGTGTGAGACGGGCTTAACATGTAACATAACATAAATGTGTTCCGCCGTGGTTATCAGACGATGTATAATTACTAGCACCATTTTTATGAATTTTGTACCTAATTAAATTTACATCACAAATTCTTAACTCTTTTAGCTTGCATAAACAAAATTTTAGCGTCTTAAAATGATTTATTGAGTTATTGATGACTTAAGAACTTCTTTAACTAATCAGATATTAATGAACCATATACATGTACATCGGACATAGATTTTAAACAAAATATATATAATATAAAATATATAACATGTTTTTGACAAAATGGCCATTCTCCCATATAAGCCTTGCATCAACCAGAAAAGTCAAGTGGTCCGACGGACCAGTGGGTTTTAAAATTAGGTGGTCCTTGCCAAAATCAAGTGGTCTCGGACCAACGGACCACCGCTAATGTCGAGGCCTGGGTTTTCATTAATACTAACCGATATCAGTACGGCTGCACTATATGTTTAATAATAGATTTGGAAAACCAATTTATTTATACATCTCTGTCATATTTAACATGTATCTTATATACGAGTATATACAACATTCTACTAGATAAATGTGACATTGAATAAAAAGTATTTTTACATTATAATTGCAGATACAATGTTTAGTATTCTTTTATTTGCATACTTGAAAGAAAACCGCTTTACTTTGTGCATGTAAAAGAAATTCCGACTAAACATGATTATAGTCTATACGAATAATCCCTTCATTAATCTAAAATCTGTTAAAATATAATTTTTCTATTAGGTACTATGTCAAGTAATACTCACAAAGTATTTTCAACAAACACGGTACGTAATTTGTAAGATAAACTATTCAACTTAAAAAGTTTTGTGAGCAAAAACATATAAGTATATAACTATTTAATCTATGAAAATTCACATTTTCCTCGAACCAAATGCCATAATTCGTCAAGAACCTAGGTATATATTTACAGTTTACTATCTTAATATTATAAACTTAAGCAATTCAATTCAGAATATAATAATATATAATTATATATAAAGGAAACATAAATTTAACGAACCGTTTCATTTTGCCAGGATACATCTTCACATTTCATTTTGAATGGTATGAAATTTCAAACATAGCTTATATCCTGAACATGGCCAAATGACTATAAGCTGAAAGATTGGCATGACGGGAGCAGTGGTCTTCAATGTTTCCAGTATAATACCTATCAATACTTTTTGGCGGCGTAAACTGTTGAAGTTAATATGTTAATGTAATAATTTTCAATATTCATGTAATAAATGAACTCATTTTTTATCAGAACACCAACTGAGTTCACATATTGCTGCTACAAATAATGCCACACACTTTTATGAGATCTAATCACTTTATCTTTCTAAATTAAATTTGTACGAAAGAGAAACGTTCATTTCCCTGTTTAAGATAGTGTTACATCATTTCCAACTAGGCACAAGTCCTTTAAAAAAAATTCTATATTGATAAAGAATTCACTTTCTGGTTTAGGTTTGTTGTAGGTAAACCACTTCAGTTTTATCACGGACCTATAAAATATCATTTAATTCTGGTACCAATACAACGCAACAAATAATTCCGATTTACTTTAATGACAACACAAAGTGAATGCACAAGTAATATTCTTACGAATTACTGTTAATCACAATATCTTTAAATTAACATTTTCTTTCTAAATACAGATATATATTGTTGGGAAACTAGTAGTGTTGGGAAACCAGTAGTCAAATTACACGCATCCAAGAATACATCCTCGTCAGTTTGTAAATATCTGCATAAATTCACTTTACCGTTTTAAAAATCACTTATTTTTAATGTTTATATCTGAATTGATTAAAATAGTTAAAAATTTAAAAAAAAACTATTTCCTTACCTGAGAAATAAATTGATTTATGTGATTAGTGGTTGATGACATGTGTGTGTGTGTGTGTGTGTGTGTGTGTGTGTGTGTGTGTGTGTGTGTGTGTGTGTGTGTGTGTGTTGTGTGTGTGTGTGTGTGTGTGTGTGTGTGTGTGTGTGTGTGTGTGTGTGTGTGTGTGTGTGTGTGTGTGTGTGTGTGTGGTGTGTGTGTGTGTGGTGTGTGTGTGTGTGTGTGTGTGTGTGTGTGTGTGTGTGTGTGTGTGTGTGTGTGTGTTGTGTGTGTGTGTGTGTGTGTGTGTGTGTGTGTGTGTGTGTGTGTGTGTGTGTGTGTGTGTGTGTGTGTGTGTGTGTGTGTGTGTGTGTGTGTGTGTGTGTGTGTGTGTGTGTGTGTGTGTGTGTGTGTGTGTGTGTGTGTGTGTGTGTGTGTGTGTGTGTGTGTGTGTGTGTGTGTGTGTGTGTGTGTGTGTGTGTGTGTGTGTGTGTGTGTGTGTGTGTGTGTGTGTGTGTGTGTGTGTGTGTGTGTGTGTGTGTGTGTGTGTGTGTGTGTGTGTGTGTGTGTGTGTGTGTGTGTGTGTGTGTGTGTGTGTGTGTTGTGTGTGTGTGTGTGTGTGTGTGTGTGTGTGTGTGTGTGTGTGTGTGTGTGTGTGTGTGTGTGTGTGTGTGTGTGTGTGTGTGTGTGTGTGTGTGTGTGTGTGTGTGTGTGTGTGTGTGTGTGTGTGTGTGTGTGTGTGTGTGTGTGTGTGTGTGTGTGTGTGTGTGTGTGTGTGTGTGTGTGTGTGTGTGTGTGCTGTGTGTGTGTGAAATAACTGTTTAACTACATAAAATGTGAGGTCAAGCTCTGTATGATATAAAAGTCAGTTTAAGTTTTAACTCTGCAAGAAAAACAAGCATCTTACTATTTCATGTTATTCTAAATGATAACCAATAATCTGAATAAACAAATAAATATATACCTTTGAATATCCCATGCAAACTTCTAGAACTCCTGTATAGCTATCGTAGTAAATCGATACTCCGTGATTTTTTTTATTTTAGCATACTGCGTATATAATGAATTATAAATAGATCAATTCATTTAAATAGATTTTACAGGATTTTACACTATTTTTTATATAGATTAGAGTACAATCCCTACTTAAGACCACCCCGGAATTAAGACCAATCCCCGCTATTAAGACTATTTAATAGAACGGAACTTTCTGTCCAGAATTAAGACCACCCCGCTTATTTACTTTTAAGACCACCAGATTCAATCCCAATTCATTGTTTATTTCTTTATTTGACCCCACTATTGAGACCACTGATATCATAGTCAACACATTCCTAATTCTTTAATTTGTTGTATCATCTGCTTGAATGAACTTAATTATGACACTTGATTTCACAAGGTGTGAAAAGCTGTTGTTATTGGGTTATTGTATGAAATCAAGTGAAAATGTAAATTTTAGAGTGGTTTAATGTTGTTTTCGCCACATTTATTTTGTGAAGAATTATTTTTTATTATGTGAAGTATGTACATCATATAATAATATATATTTATAAAATAAAAATATTGAAATCAGACCAAATAGAATTTAATGTTAAATTTCTTCATATTTACCTCTCATCAGATTAAATATTATAACATATTTTTATATAATTGTTAAGATACATTTTGTTTGTTCATGCAACATGGCTAAAATAGACCATGGTCATAAAGTATGTATGCAATAAGAATATTCAAAATTAAGACCACCCCGCAATTAAGATCACTTTGGACCAGTCCAAAAGGTGGTCTTAATTGAGGGTTTTCACTGTATTTTTCATTCGTGACATTCTATAAATCGGATTAACTACATTTCATGTAATGTTACAGTGACACATTATATAACAAAGACCAGTAACTTGTTCTTGTGTAAAATAGACGTGGGTTTTGGGAAACCAAAATGGAAGTTAATTGTTCAAAACTTTTAACATGTTATTTTGAAGGTAACATAAACATATTTCTTTATTATGACTAATCAGCAGATTTACATACTAAAAGAAGGGTAGACGAATTATGACAAATACTTTTTGCATCAAAGGACGGTTATTTTTTAATTATACTTTTCATGTTATATGTTGGCGTTGATTCTACTCGGATGCCCGCTCATGCCTCTTCTTACGTCACTAGTGAAGGTGGAAAATCATCATGTGAACTTTACTTTGTCTTTGTTTGTTTAGATTTAAAACCCGACCATTACATTAATCACAAGATAGAATGGTGTGTTTAATTTACGTTTATCAAAAGCAATAACATCTGTATCATGTAAAATGTAAATGAAACAATAGCTATTAGTCTGATCATACCATGTTTGCAGAATGTTCTCCTTTGTCATAATAAAATATCTTTGGATTTAAATCCTTTTTTGGTACAGTAATTAAGAATGACTTTGCCTTTAAAAAAGATATCATGGTTACACTTCTGCAGCAGATTGCCATAAAATGTCCTGACTAAGCCACAAGCTAGGAAATTCTGTGATTCAAATGTTCTGATCTATTAACATATTCATAGTGGTTTTATATAGAGCAGTATCAATTTTTTCATAAGTATTTATTTCCAATTAATGTAATCTATCTAGAGCAACACCACATAGCAACAACTCAAACATTTATCTTCCCCAAGTATGTTATTCTTAAGAGCTTTTTCTGCATCATTGATTATAATGAAAATGATGCGTCATCTGTTTGCAATGATATTTAGATCGTTGAATCACTCATAACCATGCCATCCATTAAGGCAAATGATATTCCAATATATATCTATATCAACAGCTAAATTACATACTGAAACATTACACTGATTCATTCTATTTACAATGTGATAAGTGAAAGTAGCTTGTCCGACAAAGGCAATGAGTTAAGGGTAGCTATAAAGCCGTAAAGCATCCAATGTCAAGGTGTAAACTGCTCAAAGCCGGAAAATTGCATGTATAAGGTTCATCTTGTAGACATGTGTATGCAGTTACTTTAGAATTGTTTCTCTTTTGTCAAATTAAAGTAACCATGGATATAGTTGTAACATTGAATGTATCATGCTTACCGTTGTACAAACATTAACGTAGGTTTATAAATTCAGGACAGCCATATCAATTTGATTTTTAAGTAGGATGCCTTTGACAAATGAAAGCCACATGATCAAACGTAGTTAACTTTACCCAAATTTGTAATTATAAAATACGCAAGACAATTGGGAGATCCGACATGTGTTCAAAACGTAAGGTTCACTGACAATTGTCTGAACTAATTTGAAAATCATACACATAATCATAAGGTTGATCATAGAACAATATTCATTCAAATTCATCTTGAACAGGTTGAAAAACAAAAGAACCGTAAACACAATAGATTAAAAAAGGTTAAAGTGTGACTTTGAGCAACATCTTTTTGATGAACAAATCATATATCAAATGTGCGGGTAGACTTTAGCGGCCAAGATCCTTTAGATGAAGTCCAGTATTACTGCCTAACAAAAATAGTGTGCAAAATGGACAAACTGTGATGCAAAAGATTTTTACATACTGGTTCTTTCTAAAACTTATTTTTCATCAAAACCGTAACCCATAATGGCTTTAGTCATTAGATACGTTGGATTTACAATGTTTATTTGTTGCTTAAAGTACTCTTATCTTTAAGTATATAAATAAAATATACAACTGACCAGTTGCTAAAAAAATGCATTTTTAGACGTGTATCTTTAAATCAATCTTTGTATGTAAGGCTTATTTAAATCAAACTCATTTTTGTTTATTTTTTTTTTCAATTTGACATTTTTATCTGATTTAACAACGAATAAGTATTGATCACTAAACATCAAATTAATATTGTGTAGGGGGTAGAGGGTTGATTCCGACCAATATGAATATCAATTCTTGATATCAGATTTTTTTTTTTACTGAAATCATTTGATATATTGTTAAACATGTACACTCAGAGGCATTTATAACACAAAACTTACATTTTTCGGTATTTATTGCTTTTTTGTGGACAAATTTTGTTCAAATTTTGACCATACAAAACATGTCATACTTGTTACCTATAATTTCATTCACAATTCATTGACAATAAAAGAGAAAAGAATAACACAAAATAGGTACTGTAAAATGAAAAATCACAGAATAGCTGTGAAAATCGTTACAAAATAAACATTTTCTGAATTGCACTAAAGCTGTATGTTAACCAGTTCTAATACTTTGTGTGTCATCCCATGGTTATAAAAACGTGTAAACACCCCTGTCTCATGGAAATGACGTAGTTTCTCATGAAGGCTAGGGAATATTTCTCCAATCAGAACAAGTATTTGCTCGAGTTCCAGCAAATTGTGGGCGTGTGAGAAATCGACCAGTAGCCTCTGGCAATTAGGTGGAGCTCCTGTTGTTCAGGAATGGATAATAGTTTACGTTTGCAATTTTAATATCGTGCACAAACACCATAAGTTAAAAGAACACTTTTAGGTATTCACGCTTAGTGTTGTTAAAATAAAGTTTGCTTTATCAGTTTGTTAGCCAAGTTTTGTATACATGTATTTAACAAAGTCAAAAATAGTTTAAGTGTTTATGTGTGTGTCTTTAATTGGTTAAAAAAGCATGATAAAACTTATATTTTTAACAATTTCAAATATTAAATTTTATTTTGTAAGTGTTCTCCTAACACTTATATTATTGCACGTTATGTAGTTAGTCAATATATCATTTAATGCTTATTTGCATACTTTTAATAGTTTGAGTAAACAACAAAACTGTGGAGAGCATCTCCTGTATTATATTAGTTTATTGAATAAGTAATCCCAAAATGAGATTCAATGACGCTATGTTTTATGGGTAGAGTTGTTCATTTGACGATGTTGTATCAGGTGGAAAAAATGTCCTGTGCAAGAGCAGGATTAACTGAACGGAGTTGTTCATACACTATATGCATTTTTACACCAAATTCAAACATAAATTCCTTTGGAAATGAGGTTTGCTTATTAGGGGATATATTATAGAACAACTCGGGTCGCATTCCTATAACCATGCCAATAACTCTAGGAGTCTCATGTTCATTTGTTAAAATTGAGCCTCCGGATAACCTTTTTGCCATATAGCAGTCGAATTTTATTATATTACTATTATTATACTCTGCATATTCTCTTTCAACAGATGTATGATCTTTACGATTCGATATTATATCTTGAATGAATTCGTCTTTCTTTTTCTGCAGACAATCCTTAGCTGCAGTCACTCTTTCTTCCGTTAATGGATCTGTTAGAATTTGACATTTTTCCAAATGCTTCTTGTATGGACTGTCTGCATGTCCATAACCAATAACAGAAATGTTTCTTATTTTTAGGAAATCTACATTTTTAGGCCACAGCAATAATGGTTTTGGGAGTTTCTCCAAGTTCGCAACATGTAACACTAGAATTGCTATATCTGCTTCTTCAGAGTAGAATTCAATGTTCACCCGGTACGTTTCGCAGGAAACATTACATACAGATTCCTCGAAATTCACAAATATGTCCCCACATGCAGCTTCTATTAAATCTGTGAAAGTCACAAAAGTGATATTTATGCAGTTATGTTTATATTATGATTTTCAATATGCTTTGGAAATAATTTTTGTTATTTAAATAATGATGATTTCACATCATATTCACAAAATTTATGTTCACAGCTACTACTTTAAAAAGGTTTTGTTTCAATTAAAATAGAGAAATAAAGAATCCCTAAAGATCGCACAAAGCGGCCAAATTGAAAATGTTGCAGCTCGGTTTGATTGAGCCCTTTCATAAAGTTTACATATTTAAAGTACGATTGTGGCATGATTATTCAGTAAACTAATACAGAAACTTACGTTTAATGTCTTTTATCACATGATACGCCGTCATCACATATTTAGAACCAACCCGAAAAACAGTTCCTTTCAGATTTCCGTCGTTGATCAAGGCGCCACACGACATTAAACTGATGATTAGATTTGCCATTGCGCTTTGAGTGAATGTATCGTCCACCTCCTTTTTAAGTTCGCCTCCTTTAAATCAATTAAATATTTATTTTTTAGTTTCATTTATTGTGCGTCCATAGCCAAATGGTTAAGATCGTTGTTTTCAAACCACTTGTCCCTCACCGCTCTGGGTTCGAATCTCGCCATCTTTGGATTCTTTCATACCAGGAAGATATCCAGCCAGCTTACAAAATCTTAACCAAACGTGCAACAAGCAGAACATTTACATGTTTCATAGCAGGAATATTATTACTTTTAGTGAGCGGTAAAAAGTATTTTATGCAATGAAACAATAATAATGTAACTGGTTTAGATATTTTACCTTGTAAACACGTCTTTGAAGTGTTTGATGGACTTTCAAAAGCTTCTAAAAAATCCTTAAATACAAAGGAAATAAACTATTTTATTGATTTATTAATATTTTCAGATAAGAGTCCATTTCTAATTATTTCATAAATCACCTCCAATCATGTTTGAAATGTTAAAAACTGTCTTTTTATGCGTGTTATTATTAAACATACGTTATTTATAATTCAAGTTTAAACAATAGTTTTTAAACAAATGACTCTTAAAATCCTAAAGTATTTCTTTTTTTAAACAAACTTTTTCAACGTTATAATTTGTATGTTTCAAAACAAGTTTAAATCTAATTTTACTCTGTTTCTTATGAACTTAATGTTATACTTGTTTTCTTCCATACAGAGTACTTAACTTCTGATCAACAAGAATTATATTACACCTTTGAAAATTAGAATAATTATATAAGAAAACTTTAATATTTCTAAGAACAAATGGTTACATATTCTGATTTAATTAATTCTTGAAATTTCATATAAATTTTCTTTACTGATAGTTTTCTTTATATAAAAATTCTAAATACAAAAAAAATACACTCGACAAAACAATATTTTATCGACCTGATCAGTATCGGGTTGCCTGTGTAAAAGTAGTTTTGTTTACTCATGATCCAGTTATGTTTCATTTTCTCTAGTTACATCAAGCGTGTTCTTATTCCTTTGAGACTCTGAAACACAAAACAGTGTGACAAACAAAGTAGTTTCTTCTGCAGACCAAAAAATGAACTTGTGCATCTTACAGACCATGCATTAAACAGAATTATCAAACTCGCTGTTGTACATGTTTAATTACATGTTGTTTTTGGGTTTTTAGGGGGGGGGGTGTTGTTTGTAGAATTTATAAATTTATTTAATCTAGAACATTTAATGTATGTATATATCATAACGATCGTGTCCTTCCTTTAAATCAGTTTTGAATGATTTCATTATTATCCATTGATTTACTGATTAATTGATTTATTTTTAGTGAAATAAAATTTGTTTCTGTATTCATTTGTATTTTCCAAATGTGTGAAGAAGAAGAAATATTCATAAATCTTTATTTCATCACTTATTAAGATATGGTTGGAGCTAACATAAATTCATATTTTGTTTTCTTTAATCAGTATTAATAATATGAATTGGCTATTGACAATTTGTTCTATAGGATATTGCTTATAAAATATTACTATAAATCTTCACTACATAGGCGAGCTTTGATACGTTTTGTAACTTAAATATCATTCAAGCTGTCAAGCAAAAGTATGGTACGTGTTGCTTTGAGACACTTTATTGCCTATTTAAAATAGAAAACAAAAGCAAAACAAAACAAAAACATAAAGACATTCTAAACAAATGTTGTTATTATCAACACAATTCAAAAATTACAGAAGACTTAAAACAATTGTTGATAGGTTTAAGATAGCAGTAAAAAGCTATTAACGAGACATGCTATATATCCGAAATTGTGTTGCCCTTTTAGCAAAATCTAAGAAAGAAACACTACAGATAAAAACGAGACTTGTTACAAAATTGTATAAATAATTATAAAAAAATAATCCACTTCAATAACCGACTATTCTGAATAGTCTATTCTGATAATATTCATAATGATAAAATAGGACACACAATTAAAACAGTAATCTAAAGGGAAGGACCATAAAAGAAGTGACTAATAATTCAAGAAATGAAAACAAAGGCCAACAAGGGAGGGTGGCGTCCCCAACAAATACCGTCGCCAAGGAGACGAGCAGGGCATTAAACACAAACTGGAAAGAGCAAAAGGGGAAAGCACGGGTGGGTGTATTATAATTAATGATTCATACTGTTAAAACCAACAAAAGGGTAATGATGGCCTCTTATCGGTAAGTTGATTAGTAAGGCTCTTACAGTGAATGGAAAGCAAATAAATCTTTAACTTAAAGTTCATATCTCCACTCTTCACCTGAATAAGTGCAAATGTAAACAATATTTTTTCATTTATAGGTTGTCACCCAGTTTTTAACCCCAGATGACTCGAATTTTATATTTTTTATGGACTGAAGATTTCATGTCCATAGTGTTAGCAAGGTTTTCTTCATATTTGTGCCATGTTGCCTACTTTTCTGTCAAAAATAATCCAAGTTTAAAGGTAAACTAGAAATCGATCTTTTTGATTAATACCCAGGGCGTTTGGGCTGAAATGTTGCCTCTCGAGTGTTTACAAGGCTTCTCCATATTTAGGTTGTGTAACGTAGGTTTTGATCCCAGATGACCCATATTTATAAACTCAAAACAATGTTTTTGACCAATATCCAGGAACAGTAGTCTATGAGTGTTAACATTTTTTTCATATTTTGGCTGTGTAGCCTAGTTTATGATCATTGATGACCCATATCACAACTAGCACAAGAAATCATCAAAATAATCTTTCTGGCTAATTTCTAGGATATTAAAAGCGAAACAGTAGCCTCGAGAATGTTAACAAGGCTTTCCATGATTGACTTTTTTTGTACCTTAGGTGACCCATACTCGTACTTGAAATAGAAATCAACCTCTGCAACCTTTCTGGCCAATTTCCAGTATATCTAGATTTAAAAAGTAGCCGCTAAATGTCAAAAAGATTTTACCATATTTGGTCTGTATGACCTTGTTTCTGACCCAATATGACAACCATTTATGAGCTAGAAAAATCATCAAAACAATCTTTCTTTCTGACCAATATCCCGATATTTGGAACAAAGCAGTAGCTACTAGAGTGCGAACAAGATTTCTCAATTTTTAGCTCCTGTGACTTTATTTGTCATGCGAGATACCCACCTAGCAAGTACTTACACCATGACTAAGTTTGGTGGCAAATGAGGCACAAATGCGACCACTAGAGTTTTAATGATCTAAATGTGGACGATAGACAGCGGGCGATGACCAATCAACGATCCTTAAATCTCTCTCTGAGCCAGCTCAGGTGAGCTGCAAATCAACTGGATACAGAAAATTACAATGTTCAACAGGTTGATTTACCTTTCTTTTTTCCTCCTTATCAGGGCTTGAATGTATTAAAACATAAAACATCACATTTATTTATTATTATAACAAAAAGTAAAAATAGAATATGTTTAAGGCTGATATTTTCTATTTGCATTTTTGACTTTCTTTTATTCTATATTTTAAGCGTTTGCTTATACGTCAATGTTTTCCATTTACGACGATGGAATCTCAATTACTGATTTATTCGGCCAAATGAAAACATGGATTGAATTATTTAAAAAATCAAATTTAGGTCAGCTTTTTTGGTAAAGACACAATGTTCAGATGAACACTGTCCCCGCCGACTACCTTTGTTAACGTTGATGGTTTCGTTTCGGTATATGATATGTACACAATGTGCTACGTAGCGGTGACTAATATTTTTCATAAGACGACTATAATCCGCTAATGACGAAATTTATTACCTCGCAATGTTATAAAAAAAACAAAAGATTTATTTTAACTGTTTGTAACAGTTACAGGTTTTTAATCAAAAAAATTTTGATTTGTGATGTTTACTTGTAATTTTATTTTTTTTCAAAGGGAAAAAATTTTTTAAATATATGCATGGTATTGTTTTATTTTCTTGGTTTGTCAAGTGAAAAAAAAACATTAAAGCGCTAAATGTTCGATCATCTGGTCAAATCAACAATAATTACTATGGAATGTATAACTTTTGTTTAAAGTCACACTATATTAATCACACCTGCGATAGAATGTACATGTAGTCGATTAGAAAGTTTCTTAATATGACAGAGGTATCAACCAGAACGTATATGTAATTCATACGATTTTCACGTTGCCGGTGGTCCTGCGTTGCTGGGTTAGTTGTTTTCATTAAACGGCGTTCCTTGTTGATCTTGTTTTTTATATTTCATTTAATCCATACCTGTGAAAAGCTGGATGTTTCATCTATCTAGTCGTAAAATAATATTGATTTAATATCATCAAGTTATCTTATAAAATGTTAATAAGACATGATAAAATACGCCTTCATAAAATAAAATACGATTTCCCCAATAATCAAACAACGGTTGAATAATTTTAGTATAGACCTTTTTACGACGCGGTCCGTTGCTATGAAAAAAAATGACCGGAAGTAGTATTTTTTCGCGCATGCGCAATTTGTAAAATGACTATAATGGCTGATTTAAAAAATAAATGGCGGGGCGCGAATCGAAAACCCGCTTATTTGCGATATCGCTATTAAGCGGGTTTCGCTTCGCCCCCCTGCTATTTTAACTTGTTCATTCTCGACTTTTCGCTTGGCGAGGTGGCGGGGCGAAGAACCGCTTATTAGCGGGAACGCGGGGCGAAGTTTTATTTATGAAAATTTTTTTTAAAAACCCCCCGGGTAAAAATTTTTTTTTGTTCCCCCCCGCCTTTTATTTTTAAAATTTTCACCGGGGCCCTTTTTACCCTATTTTAATAATTTTCCTCTTATGGTTGGGGGGGTTCCCGGGGGCAAAACACCAATGCAGTCCCGAACCTTAATAACGGGGCCCCGGCCCCCCTTTTTATTCCAAATCTAAATTTTTTTCTAAATTTTTCCCCCCCCCCTTTTTTAAAAATTTTTTTCTTTTAAACAAAAACAGAAAAGGACAAATCACCCCTAATTGAAGGGTTAAAATGGGAAATATATTTTTTTAACTTACGTGGATTGCTAACTAATTTTTGAAAAGTACTAATTAAAAAGTTGGTTTATTTTTAAAATTGAATTATTTTAAATTATATTTTCAAATGCTTAATCATACCTAACCCAAAACCCTTTGTCTTCTTTTTTTTCTTTTTCTTTGGGGGGGGGCGGTTAAGCAATTTTACCCATTGATTTTTGACCGTAATTACCTGCGGAAAAAGGAAAAACCTAAAAATTAATTTCATTTTTTTTCAGGGAAAATGTTATTTTGTGATAAAGGTGGTGGCCTTTCCTTACTTCAAAGTTAAATTCGGGCTCAGAAAAGGTTAAAATTTAAAATGTTAATGATTACCGTAAAAAAAAGTACTTCAAAATGTATTTTTTTAAAATCAATTTACACCAATTTAATCGAGGTTTGAAGACTTAATCTGATTTTTACTCTAAAAAATAAATGAAATAGTTTTATTATCATTTTGTAAGCACAGTATAAAATGAATGTTTATGGTATGGAGCATGTATTAACAACCTTTATGTATGCATGTATGTTGTTGTATCAAATTATCAAATTGTTGTTGTGCTTTTTGTCGTCATCATCGCCGATGCTGCCATGATGACGATAATGATTGAAAATTGCCTATTATTTGTTATTGAAGCGAATGTTTAACGGAATAATTGTATCCCTTGACTTCATAGAACTTACATAAAATCATGAAATATTTTTGACTGATTTTTATGTCATTTATGAAAATGATAAAAGTGTCGAATACTTTAAATCCTCATATTTTATAAATCTAAAACAAGAGTTTAAATATCATTTTGCTTCGGTATAGTCTGCTTTTATTGACCTGTCAATTATGATAACATTAAAGCACACATCTAAATATTCGATACCACTTTGGTTCTGTCCATATAGATTACGAGAATAAATTTGTAGTATATGACAAATGTTTTGATAATTCACACTATTCTTGATTCTTGAAGTATGTTTTAATGACTAGGGCTTGCAAAATAGTCTACACGGATATGGAACAACTTAAAAACACAGATTTGTTTGTTTTGTATTGAATTTTATTGATTTAAATTTAAATTCTTAAACCATGCCATTTAAAAAGTATATTGTCTTTGCCAAAATAAGTGCAAAACACATTAAAAATTAAAAAGAAAAACAATCATACTTTCAATAATGTGGAGAATATAAATAAAAAAGCATAGACAAACGCGATCTAGATCTTACAACAGATGGGACATTTTGAAGATATAAACCGGTAGTTTCCCCTATTGCGCTATAACGGTCAGTACAGCTATTTCATAGAAACAAATTTAATTCAATCAAATCTTACTGAGTACATCTCACGAAGTTAAACGATCATTTATCGAAGATTAATATATTGTGTGCATTAACCGTGTAATCAGTATGCAATTGAAAGGTTAATAAAATCAAACAATAATACATAGAAAAGAAATCATAATAAAGACATACAAGAATGTATTTATTATTGGAATACAAATTCAAAAATCTGATGAAATTGTTTCTTTTTTAATATCTGAAACAAGACTTCATGTTCTGTTATTTTTTAATTTGTAGGAAATATTTCAGAAGCAAGGTCCGGGTCTTCCCTTTCCATTCTTTGGTATATCCAATTCATTTTTACTCCAACCTCAAATAAATATTTCCTTTCAAACGCGGCTTGTTGCATGTCAGACAATTCATAGAAAAAATCTGGCTTACCACCTATAAATAAGCCTATCACCTTTGGTGAATTTACTTCATTTGTAATAACTGGGGCACCTGATGAACCTTTTTCCAAAAAGCAATCAAATTTAAATAACCTTTCGTTTTCAACATCATAATATCCCCGATCTACAGAGGATGTATCAAATCCTCGTTCTTGTATGTCATTTTTGTACACCTCTGCATTTTGATGCAAGCTTGCTAGGGCCTCCCTATACCTTGTATTAAAAGGGTCCTCTCCGATTATGATACATTTATCAGAATGTTTTTCATTTGGGTTGTTCTTATTACCATAACCTATGAGAAAAGCTTCGTTTATACGCAAATGATAGCTGTCGTATTTCCATAGAAATAGAGGGTCCGGGAGGTTCTGGTGCAGGTCGGTATCTTTTATTTCAAGTACAGCACAATCGTTTTCCTCATCATGATATCGATATTTTAATAGAATATCCCGTCTGTGTTTGTCGATGAAAGAACCGTTGAAATTTACATGTAAATTATGTTCTCGTTCAATCCGTGAAAAGTCATAGTCTGTTTTTCCCGTCAAATCTGAAATGTAAATAAAAAAACAAAAACTATATGACATTATACTATTTTTGTAGTACATGTATTTGAGACAAAATCGTTTTCATAGACTTATTCATAGTACCACAGTGTTTATATTTATCAAATGAAAGGTTGATTTCATATTTGAGCTAAATTGATCGGAATTCTATTAAGCTTTTACAATATTATCGGATATAATTATGTTTTTTGTAGTGGAAAAGTGATCTTAACAGAAATAGCAACATTTTTATTAAACTGCTACAACACAAACCATTAATAAGTACAGCAGACAGCAAAAAGGAAATGTATCTTTAAATAAATAAATAAATAAATAAATACATAAATCCTAAACGAACATTTCATCACATGCTTCATCTATGTAAATCGGTTGGATTATGTTTTAGTATAAAGCTAATAAAAATATATAAGTCATCATTCTCCTTTACATAGGCATGTATACTATTTGTTAATAAAAGCAAATTTAACCTCGACTTAAATCACGAATAACATGAAAGTCTGTCATCACATAACATGGACCAACACGGAAAGCAGACCCAATAACCTTTTTCTTGAGTATTATTGCGCCGCAGCTCAGGAAAAGCTTGTTCAGACAATTCGTTGCAGCTTGTGTGTTAGTGTCATCGGCATCTTTTTTGAACTCTCCGGGATTTGACTTTGTATCACCTGAAATCGGTAACAAAATATGATGTCCTCAGAGGTCCACCAAACTAAGTTAAAGTTACAGAAATATTTGTCCATTGAAAATGTCTTTAAAGTGTCTCAGCGACATCCATGAACCACGATGTTAACTTATTAAACATAAGTATTGATTACGTTTGTTAAAATAAAAAATAATTATTGAGACTTAACTAAAATGTGTACATAAGTTGTCTTATGAAAATGTTTTATTGCATAATGAAGACGAAATACATTTGTAATGGCAAAGAATGTGACATAATAATTCAATTATTAAAGCCGGAAACGTACGTTACAATAATGGAACCTTTCATTTGTCCGAGAGTAAAATGTGTTAATTATTTAAAAAAATGATTTTTTTTTGATAGCTATGATCTTCCCTGAGGTAAACATAATCTGTATTAAGAGCAACGTTTGTGAAAAATGATATGCCACCGCACAATACGTAATAGTAGGAAAAGAAGTAGTTGTTTTGTTTCTTTACAATTAAATTTTACCAAAATCCAGAAGTATCTCGTAAATTTGGATTTAAATGTAATATTTAAGCATGTGAAATAAAAGACAATGTGCAGATGTGTCAAATGTTTAGATACAAAGGCCATAGTGCAATTATAAATTTATAATTGATTTAAAATAGACAAACATTTAGGTATTTACAGTATTACATAGAGGATATTTGTTCGTTTGTGTGTAAAATAAAATTACATTTTACAAACAAATTTTCTTTTTATTTTATACATAAAAACTAGACAGTATAAATGAAATTTCCTCAATATAAGCTTTAATTTTTAAAAGCTGTTTTCCCCACTTTTAGCCACAATTTAAGTCGAATTTCAAGATGTCTTGAGCTGCAAAATAAGTCCGATAATCAACATTAAATGGCGATGATATTATCTATTTTATTTAAAAAGTATGAATGATCTCTTATTTTAATAATTAAAACAAAAAATACTAGTAAAATAAAAAATCACACCATCCGATCTCATTTCCGTTAATTACTGCAAAATTATATTAGACCAGGCTTAATGAACTGGCCGCCATTTTTAAAGGTTGTGTATATCAAGGAAGACAATAATTGTGTTTGATTCAGACGGACATTATAAGGAAAGAAAATATTATTTGAGAGTTGTTACAGAAAATAAATAATTGTTTACAATGTGCTCAAATCATTACGTAAATTTCCCTACAAACCAAACATCTATATCGCTAGAGGTCATGATATCAAATCAGTTTATAAACAGCTTTGAAAATTAATTTAAAACATCTCCCTTTCTAGACCTTATGACCTTAACACAAACTCAAAGCTATTGATTCATTATTATTTCAGAAAAAAAACATACTATGTACACATGTAAAATGACACTCCAACACGAGTTGTTTCCTTTCATTATTTAACTATGATTTGGAGAAAAGCCATGACCTCCTAGGGCAGCGCAAATTTTGACTCCTAAGCTATAATTTGAATAATCTAAAAGGAGGTTTACAAGACAATGTTTCATGCTTAACATCTAAGCTCTAGTCTATGTAGTCATTTATGAAAACACATTACCTAGGGGCGGTGCCAATTTTTACCCCAGGCTTTGATTTAAACAATATTTGAAGAGGTACACTAGACAATGCCTTATGCAAAATATCAATGTTCTTGCTCTATTGGGTTTTTAAAAGATTTTTTTTTTGAATTTCTTATAATTCGTTTAATTTGTCATGGCACCCAGATTTTCAATTCTTTGAACAATTTTGGAGGCCCCTCACCCAAGGAACAATCTTAGTAAGTTTGGTATAAATTATAGATGTTGCGGTGGCATAATAGTTAAGAAGGAAAATGCTTGAATTTCAAAATAACAAAACACAGATATTTGCTCAATGTCCCGTGAACAACAAAAAAAACAACAACAACAACATGGGGGAATACTGATTTCACACAAAACTGATCGTTACTTAAATCTTTAGTATCAGCGGGATTTCCATAAGTGAGGCAAAAATTATATAATAGTTTAAGTTGATACAGAATTCAATTAAAGTCGATTGCTCATATATACACTCTCGATTCCGTTCCTGCAATAAACCAGTACTTACGAACGAGCGTTAAGTTCTTGTTCATGGAAACAATGAAAGCTTTCTTCTTACCGCAATTCTTAGGTAGCTATTTCGACACGTTAACCACTTGACTTTACCACCTCTACAATTTGCTTAGGTCTCGATTTTTTTGGTTGTTTTTGTTTTTTTTGTTTTGTTTTTTTTGTTTTTTTGTTGTTTTTTTTGTTTCTTTGTTTTCTTACCAATATTTGAATTAGCTAACAGATGTTCCTTCTCCTCTTCACAAGGGCCATTAGGAAATGGTGCATTATCTGAAACAGTTTAAAACATGCCCAATGATCTTGCCTCATTATGATTTGATTTATCTAGCTCAGTTTTACATTTATAGTATTGATGATTAAGAATCAATTTACACCGTGTATATCCAGTAACGTCGGATTTGAAAAAAATCCCACGATCCGTCCAATAAGAACAGCAAAATTGTGCAATAGATGGCGGATACCTCGCGGTAAGTAGACTGGCTAATTTATTTTTTTATTTAACCATACTGAAAAAAATACCCGCCTATGGCCGCGTTAATCCCTCACTAAGATTGTTTCCACGAAATTGCATACTTTTCAAGATAATTCGTGAAAATGATGGCTTGACCACCGTTTTGAGTGTGATTTTGGCTTTTTGGTACAACTATGCATATTATATTGTATAATTTCGTTTTTCGGTAGGTAAGTGACATTTACTAAACTTCTGGTGACAGAAATTCGAAAATAAGCTGATAAATGTGATTGTAGTTTTTTTATTTATGTATATAAATAGTGCTTGGTGGTAACGCCGAAAAAAAGTGATTTTTTCATATATGGTACTGTCAGGTATCCGTCATTTATTGCCCAAATTCTGCATTACTTATTGCACGAATCGTGCGTTATTTTCACATTCCGGCGTAACTGGATAAACACGGTGATTCAAACCAATTTAAAATTCAAGGCAAACCATTTCTTCTTGACAGTTATCGTCATATACATGTTAGTCAAGTGTGGTGAATTTTTTAACCCTTACTTCATTGTCCAGAATCAATATGCAGTATCAATCAATGTTCAATATACTCCGCAATTCTTAAAGGTTTTTTAAACATTGATAAAATGTACTGAACAAAACTAAAGACATGTTTGTGTCACTGCCACTTATATCCATGACCATGAATGGCAATTTCCATACAAAGTTCATTAACTAAGACGATGTTTCCAGATTTTAATTAGACAAAAAATCAACACAGTGTCAGTGTGACCTGTAAGATTGACCTAATGACCTTAAATTCAATACATAGCATTTCAACCTCTTAAAACAAAACTTAGTTCCTTGTTAGCTGACTGATAGAAAAGACATTTTACATATATTCTCTGTGACCGTTACCTTTGACGTAACGAAATTAAAATGTGCTGTCATTTTCTTGTTATGATCAACCATAACGTCAAATCTATTGATTTTCCGCGAAAGCTTTTTCTAGATATTGGCATGAAAAGGAATTGGTGGTCAATGTCGCGATGGCCTAAACTTTTTACATAGTGACCTTAAAATCAATTGCCGCCATTACCAAGTCATGACAATCCTCTACAATAAGTATTTTGATTGTAGGCAATGATGTCGTTTTTGCTATTTGTCGGACAATCTTTTAAATGTCATGGACATTGTAACCTAGTTCTTTGACCTTAAAACTTCAAAATAGCAATAGGGGTTATCTACTGATCATGGGAAATGTCCAACGACTAATCCTTCTTAACGGTATAGTAAAACAAAGAACAGGGTACGTACAGACAAACGGAAAAACGTACGTACCAACCCGAACATTTTAATGTTTGGCGTTAACAAGAGAAAACATAAATTAAATATTCTTCCCTATCATCTTCTCCTTACTCTTAGATTTTGAAATAATAGACTTTGTAATGATGTACAGGGTCTTTAATATAAGTTAAAGTTATTTCTCCTGTGCTTATTCCCCATAGCCAGCTGGTTTTCTGTATGATCTTGGTCGTGGTTTTCACTGTTGGCTTATTTTCACAAAGTATTTAGAAATTTCAGATATTGATCGAAAATCTAACTCATTTGACTCATTCATTCATAAACGTAGAAACTATCTGCTCGCTAAGGCCATGATTTCAATAAAAATAAATTTCATGTAACTGAATCAGGACTGACAACGGACGGACAAACAAAACCCAAATAAACATACCGCATGTTCTCACAAGTCTAACATAACTCAGAATTACCAACTACAAACAGGCATATCAATTGTACAAAGGCAGACTGACGGATCGAAAGTTAGATAGACAGCCAGGTTACCAAATATAGAGACATATGATAAATGGGTGGACATACAATAATTTGCAAGACAAACAGAAAATCATGTTGCTTTAGTCTTGAATCATGTGTTTAATTATACAATTAATAACTCATTTTATATTGTTTTTGTGCTTGTGGATCTCTATCCTAAAAAACCAACTAATACTCCAAGAACAGCTCTTCGTAAACTAATGGATCACTATTCGGTACAAAGCGTGGAATAATGATTCTCAAGGAGGTCTATACGGCATTAACTAGGAAAGTTCACTCATTGCGGCCCTATTCGAATCCCTTTGAGGTGCGACACACTCTTCTTGGGTAAATTTTATCAAATGAAAACCCACGCACCCCTTCAAGCGACTATCAAAAGTGACGTCGATACTGAACTCGAAACAGAAAGACGGAGTTGTGAAATGTTTAAGTCTTTTTATAGAGAAATTATTGATTAAATGAGTACATTTTTTTGTAAAGTTTTTATTTTTTATATGATACTTTGTTTACATTGTTTATGACAGGATTATAAAGGTAAACAAACTAGATGAATTCATTGAAAACACAACAACATTTTACTGTATATTTACTCATTTCTGTTCGGTATACATGTATAATGCAATTAATAAGATACGATAAGTGCGTTGTCTTCGCGATTCACGCTCTTTGACATATGTTATTACATAATGTTGGCAATGTTTCTTGGATCTGTTTTTTTGTGAAATATCAGTTGCATCTCATAAGTAGCCAACCAATATCTAGCGAAATTTAAATTGTAGATCGGAAAGTCTATACTATTTATTTATATAAAGAAAAAATCCAAATAAAATAGAAATCATCTTTGTCATCAATTTTCTTGGGAAATGAAATTAAGTATTATCTGTGATAGAAAACAAGTCTTTGAATAAATATTTTACAAATGTAAACAACATGTTAAATAACATATTAAATTAGTACCTGTGTCAGATGAAGAGATATCATGCTGAGAAGAGTTTCCGTCTTCTAATTCACCCGATGGTTTACCTGTTTTGAAATATAGTTTTCTATACAATCAAATAATATTGTTTTAATCAATTACACGTGACATTTATATCATAGGTTGATAGCTTTACATTGATTTAAGTTTTCGAACTGTTTAAAATGATTTCTTAAACGATGTAGCACATTTACCAGCATGTACAAATAATAATTTTATAAAGAAGAATCACATAAATCACCAAGACATGTAAGCTTCATGATATTGACTACAATCATTGCAAATAAGTGTGCCGTTTAATTGAGAACAACGGTTTTGATATGCATACATTGTAAGAATGCGTACCAGTTGATTATAGGATAAATATATCAAAACTAACACAAATTTAGATATCAATACATGTTTCGCTTTATTAGCTTTGTCAGTTGATACATAAAGGAAATAACGTACTTTCAGTTGATAATCTAAGCTAAGAATTAAAAACCCTTAAAGAATTAACTGCAAAATTGATTCAATTATAAAGTACATTTCTGTCAACAAAAATATGTAAATTAAAGACTTGGTCCATTTTTATCTCTTCATGATCATAGATAATTGAAAAGTTCTAAATTATTACGCCCCTTGTACAGTTTTAAGTGCCGAATAGAACCGAATTGCATATTTAAATGTAATAAATATAGAAATAATATTATACTTGCATTTTTTTGGAGTGCAAAACACAGTTATAATGGTCATCAAACAAACTGAAAATAATTAGAAATCGTTAAAAATTTAAAGATTAAAATATGAAGTTCTTTTCTCTGATTTCTTTTCACTTCAGTCAACCCGGACTTTCATTCTCATTAAATGTTTATTTTTTGTCAATATATCATTCAGTTTGATGGAAAAAGACTTATGTCGTGACTTTTACAAATAATATATATATATACGGGTTATGAATATTCTAAATAATTTATATTTCCTCATTTTTGGGTTATATAACAAATTGAATGCATTGTGTACAACACAACTATTTCTAAAGAAAGCGCGGTCGTTTTGACAGTGAGCATATGTGGTAAACATCGAAACTGCCCGTTTACAAATAATCTATCATGTCAACATATATTTTTTCTTTGTCTTTTTGAATTCACAATTTTACCTTTAATATATAAAACAAATTGAAAATTGTATGAAAACAGTTTTCGATATCTTCATTTATGTGCAGAATTAATGTTTATTTATACATTGATTTCTCTTTTTTGCATTTTTGTATTTTTGCTGAGTTAAGAAACATGAAAAACTCATTCTGTAACGAATGGGTTCAGATTATTGTTTTTTTACAGAATCAAAGGATAGAGTTATTCATTCTTATGATGAAATATATATTCCTGTAATACATTTCAATAATTTTCCTGTTAGATTTTGGAAGTTTACATGTAGCATTTAATTTTTTAAGAATGTGAACCTGACAAAAATAATAAATCAATATCTGATTATTTTTTTTTTAATGACTGTATATTTATTTTATACTCTGTTTAAAAAAATAACACCAAAATAATAATAACATTTTTCAAAATTTGTTGTTTTTCAAGTCAGAAATAAGAAAGACAGGTTATACTTTTTGTCATACATATTTATTTCCGCATATTTGAGGGAATTTTTTTTATATCATTTCGCCAAAAAAGTAATGTGGAAACTGGTCATGAAATTTCCATATTTTGATTGCTTTGGAAAAGTATAAAAAATTATAAAAGTTTGTTTTTGAAATTGTGGTTATTTTGACAGTTTTTAGATATACGTTTAGCACGGAATTGTACATATACCAACACGTCGACATATATTTTCTTTTTATTTTTGAATTCATATTTGAATTTTACATATCATACAAAAAATATTTTAAATTGCTATCAATGGTTTAATTCTTAATTTAATGTAGAACATGCTTTTAAAAGCACTTGTCTGAATCTGATGAGTACGTTCGAAAAAAAAAATGTAAATGCGAATGATACATACCAAATATCACACAGGTAACAATAACAAAGATGATTCCCGTTGCTAAAGGTTCTGTTTGGGGGGTCACATCTGATCCTGAGATTGAAATTTACTCGTCAATATTCATGTAAAGCGAAAACAAATCACTGACCGTACACAACTTACTGGTTAAAAGAATCAACATATTAAGCAATTAATAGTACATATAAATAAGAGATGAATTTTAGTTTATGGGAGCACACCATTAATTAAAAAATATTACAAGCTGTTGTGTTTACATACACAAAAGCAGTCATAATCACCTCTTTGGCCAAGGTGTAACATTCAAATATGTACAATACAGTTCGAATAAGACGTAACTAAAAGTATTTAACTTTATTTCTATTTATGAAATACTAACTGATTACTCGAATGTAATGATACTCTTTAACTTCAATAACGATTTGAATTTCAAATACTTTTTCTACAATGTGAAAAAAGCTTGCAACATTTTCAGTATACAGTGTATGCAACAGAGAATTAAAGTTTATTAAGTCCCTCTTACTAATATGAATGCATAGAATTGATAGGAGTAGCCTTTTTATGTACCTATACATCTTCCAGTTTCCCCATCAATCACAAATCCTGGGTTGCATTGGCAAACATGTTCGTTTAAAGATTGTTTGCATATCCCATTTTCACAAACCCATGGTTCCCCATCGCATTCGGCAACATCTGTCAATAACGCAATGCGACAATGTGTCATAACGAGTGCTTCGAAATTGCATTTTCAAACAGCAAGAGCTTTCAAAGCGAGTTATAATACAAGTTCTAACTGGCTTGGTTTGTTTTGTGCTTTTTTTTTAAAGTTGATATTAACTTATTACCAGTTTTGAATGAAGAGTGTCATTCTCGAATAAAGATAAACCAAGGAAAGGATTACATATAATCGTGTTACGTACAGTCAAATGGGACTTAAAGTGATCAGCGGGATATATCTAAAATAACAAACATAAGATTGAAACGTTCCTAAAATTTGATAACTAAGATCAACAAAGAAAGGCGGCGTTCAATGAACCCAACTCCTGCACGATCCAGCAACAAGAACCAGCGGCTTGAACCCCAAACAAAAACAAGAAGGGCATACCCGGTGTGGTACATCAAACACTAATATACGCATAAAAGCTCTAAGACAATCAAAGGATACTATTAACGTCCTAAAGTTTTTTAATTTATGTATTTAAAACGTACTGAAAAAAGATTTTATGATACATGTGATAAGGTTAATGTTTGTAGCAATAACGTTTTGAAATAATCAAATTACAATGCATTTATATGTAGCTGAGTAAAATATCATACCGGTGTCTAAGTCAGGATTTTCTGATACAGTAACTGTAATGGAATGTCCATCTCTAAGATGGTCCCTGCCAAAATATGAGGTCAAATTACCAAAACAAGTTATTTATTTATTATCAAGAACATTCACTTACATACTTGAAATAGATATATAAGGTTCCGAGGGACCAGTAGTTGCCAAATGATCTAAATTCATCGCTTTAATTGTTTCACATTTTGTTAAAAACTTTTTGAGACAATAACGCCTGTCACTCATAAACTGTCTGTTGTGCCACAGACAACATAAACCTTCATTATATGTAAACACTTGAAAATATTGTACATTTGTAATATAATCTTATTTAACTTTTAAATTGAAAAAATGTTATTATGTTTTTGATCCGAGATAGGTGGTGATTTGATTAAAAATTAATATAAACGTCCATTTATTTTTGAAACTTAAAGAAGATAAGAAGAAATTCGTGATCTAATAAATAAATGAGTTATCATCTAAGAAGGCTTTGCAGTTCCTGGTAATGAAATATATTTTGATAGTGTAAGATAACTGGAAAAAAGTCTTGAACTTATAAATTAAAGGGTATTCATGAGTGAAGACCGCAGGTCTATGTTATGAAATATTTACCGGCAAGTCTGTTTGCAGATAAAGTAATTATGGTCATCTCTACATTCATTCGGGTTGCAAGGAAGAACACATGTCCCATCTACAATAAACAAAACAACAAAATATGTGTCTGTTAAATTAACTAAGTAGTCATAATTATAAATCAAAATACCATTAAAGCACACTAAAAGAAGGTAATATTTTTCATAATCATTACGAATACTGCAAATGTATTTTTATGAACTGTCCTAAAATTCAGTTGTTAATCAAATTTTAGATTTAACTTACTAGGCAAAGGTTTTTGTCCTTCTACGCATGGATTGTTTACTTCAGCGTTCCCACTACAGAAATAAGGTTCATATACACTTTCCCTGTCGTAATCTAATAGAAATCTACCAGCTCTGTTATAGTATCCTTCTTTGTAGTTACAATAGACAATGGTTGGGTAGATATGGTTACCTTCACTATAGATCAAATATCTTTCTTCAATATTTGTTAAATTTAAGTGCTTTGATCTACAGGCATTGATACAGTTTGAATTTGTTTCCTGGAAATAACCAGTTGGACATTTCTCGACAATAACTTTAATCTTTGAAGGGTTCTCCTCGTCTTGCATTACTCTCCACCAATGACCTAATAAAAAGGAATGAGACTGAAAAAAGTGTACCACACTAAAAATCGTATTCCTCGTATACTAGGCAAAGCGCTTGAATCATTTATTGTTAACATCTCCCGCCCAAATGTACTTTTAGACGGCTAATGAATCTCCTCTCGTCGATTGATATACAATTATGAATGAAAAAATGTATAAATCGCTGCCAAAAAGGCGAGGTTTTTGTACTTGTGATCATGATTTCTGTCAAACTCTACTCTCAAGGTACTGCACTAATATTGTAGTTTGTTAAAACCAAAAAAGGCAATATACGTTAAAAATGTATGATACTTCTTTATACACAAAATAATAACTTTACATACATCAGACGGGTTACTGATAGATAACTGAAACAGATAATTTGGAAATCCTAAGAGCGGCTCAAACAGAAAGTATGAAAATTGCTAAATTGAAATTGTTGCAGTACTGTTTAATTAAGCCTCCTCAAACACTTCAATGAGAAATGCAACGGCCAGAGACATTGTATCATTCATTTAGTTTTATAAAAGTACATTTTATTTTTCAATAAAGCCAGTAAAACAAATACATTGAACAGGGCATTTTTCAATACAGAATTACATATTTAGATATTTTGAGAGATTTGGTTTTCACCATTGAACCATAGAAACAGAAGGGCAGTTTTGGACGGTGGCAAATTTATTTTCTTGTTAACAGACATGTAAGGAAATGCAATAACTAACAATTATATTTGAAGAAAATGAAATAAGAAACATTGATCTATTCTGTGAGAATTTTGGACAAAGTCACAATTCAAAAGAAAGCTAAAGTGATTGCAAATACAGCAACGAAAAAGTTGTTTTGGCTAACCTTTTTTGCATATAGGATGCATTGGAGCGCAGATGAAAGCCATTCCTTTTTCAGTGTTGACACATACAGGTGTATATCCCGATAAACACGTTTTATTGAATTCGCAATAATCGAGTAAGTCTCGTAGTTTATCACTTCCTGGAAAAAGGCAAGTCTGTGTCATATCTAAATTTGAAGGGTTGCAGTAAGAAGTGCTGAGAGACACAAAGGTTTGTATCTCCGTGAGACTTTGATCGTGTTCGGTTGGAGGTTGTATGTTCATGGCATCGGAAAGATGGAAAGACAGTAAAATCATAAATACCTGAATTAAAAAAAAGACAATTCAATGAATCGTTAAATCTCTGTGAGTACATGTATTAGGTAAACCAGAAACGTAAAAATAATGCGTGAATGGTTCAAGTAAAAAAACACAACCACAAGTAAGGAGGAAATTATATATTTTAAAATCGTGTCAGTTGTACATCTATTCACAAAATTATCCTCAAGAATAAATAGCATACATCTCGACCACATTGACTTATAAATCATCAGAAATCGTTTTACTAACATTATGTATTTACACATATATTGTGTTTTGTTTTTTGAATAACTATTTGCGTCCATTGTATAAAACTGACAAACTTAAAAGGGGTTGACTGCAAAAGCGACTTATACATCATGATTATAAAATAGAATAGTTTGACGATTATGATAAGCTTTCTGTTGAGATTTCTTATAACAAGTATGAATTACTATGCAAAACAAAAGTATTTTATGAGGCCAGTATCTTATATATGATTTGGATAAACACTGTTATAATATGTGAATAAAATTAATCAAGTAAATAAATTAAAGTATCTATATATCTAATTGAGAGAACGGAATTAGCGCAAATATTTACTTTAAGCTTGTTTAAAATAAAGTTGTTAATCATAAATTTTGTAAAATATGACTGTAGGCTTTGAAACGCTGATTCTAACGCGTTACAGACTTTTTCTTACTAAATATTACTTTATAAACTTGTCTCAGAAGATTCGGTATCTCGGATTGTTTGATATAAGAAAAATGAAATGACTCTGATAAGATATAACATCAACAGACATACGTATGTTTTAAAACGGATAGGGTATGTGCAGGACATTGAACCATCTAAACGAAGACTTCCTCTTTTGATATCTGTTGAAACGGGCAGTTTCTTTACATCATGCTCCGTGTCCGACTTGCGATGTTCATACTCTAACACACGATGTTTTTTCGCCAAAACCTTTTGAAATATAACAAGAGCCATGTCAACATGGCCATTCCCCGCCGAATGTGTTTGCTCATTGGAAGAATGTATATGTAGTAGAGCAGAATAATTTAATTTTAAGAGGTCTTTTGGTAATGAAAACTGATGGCTGAAGTGATTACAGATTTGAAACCTATATGAATACTGATGGCTGAAAACAACAAAGGGCAATAACTGAAAAATAATGCAGGGTAGGTTATCATTCTTGTGTGCTGCACCCCTCCTCAGTAAAATCTATCCACCTATTAAATTTCAAGTAGATACCTCAAGTACTCTTTGAAATATGCTCCCGACAAAATAGTATGAAAAAGAATAAAGGCCAATAATTCAAAAATTATATAGGGAAGAGTTATCATTCTTGCGCACAGCATTCATACTCAATAAGATCTATCCACCTATGACATTTCATATTGACATCTCAAACAATTTGTGTTTTGTTCCAATAAGGTGAAAAATTAAGTATGAAAAATAGCAAAGGGCAATAACTCAAAAATTATGAAAGGTAGTGTTATCATTTTTATGCACTGCACACCTCCTGAGTGAGATCTATGCACTTATGAAGTTTTATGTAGATATCTCAAAGGCTTTTTGAGTTATGCTCTGGACAAAAATTAATTTTAAAACATTACAAAGGGCAATAACTCAAAAATTATGCAGGGTAGAGTTATCATTCTTGTACACTGCACTCCTCTTTAATGAGGTCTATCCACCTATGAAGTTTCAAGTTGATACCTCAAATTCTTTTTTTGAGATGTGCTCCGGACAAAAATGTCGGACGGAAGGACAGACGTCCGGATGGATGGACGGACGGACGGACGGAAGGACGGACGAAGACTATTATAATAAACGCTTTTCAATTTTGGGTCACTTTTCACTATTACAATATCTATTCTGGAAAAACGAAGGGAGCTTATGATCTGAAATTTGCACATATGTTATTAGTATAGATCTACATCAAATGGAGTAATAATCTCAAAAAAATATTTCCAGTCCCGTCAGTTAAACAAATGTCAGTGGAGTCCCTTTAACCTTTGCATTACAAAAAGTTCATTGCTTTACTAATAACGCGTGTGTCTGATCTCAGATTGTAGGCAAAATGGAAAATGTTATCATATGTTTTTCCAATTAAGATACATCAACCAATTTAGAGCATTCATTTAAAGATATCAAGTGGATTACACAGTCGAAAAGCACAAATAAGGAAAACCGTCTTTCTGCACACCTTAGTAATGCTTGCAAAAGTTGACATGCTTATCTTTATTTTTAATTCGAACACTTTTGCAATTAATGTAATAGATGAATAAAGACACAGTAAAGTTTTGGGATTTTGCATTTTCTGTTTACTTGTATTAGAACATGATAACATTTATTTGGGAATTTTGTAAAATATATCTTAAAAAATTGTTGATACTACGCGTCCTCAATTTAACATATCAAACCATTGAATCTAAAAACTAAGACTTTAATAGCAAATCAAAATTAGAGAAAGGTTACAATCACATACCTTTGTAACTTGCATTGAGCTTGAAATCTGACGACCATAACTGTCTGCTTCTTGGCTTTCTTCTTGAGGGTGCTTCTTTTGTACTAATAAGCGGCACTCGTCCTTAGGTGCTACTGAATCTGCTTCTAAAAATTATTTCAAATAATTTTTTTATTTTTGTGCGTTTACCTGATAAATGAGTATTAAATTTAAAATGAACAGTAAGTAAATGATTAGCATATCCATGTTTTTATGAATTAAAGTCGATGAACATTCATGGTTATTTATAAAAAAGTGTTTTATTGATACCTTGTTTTCTTTGTGTCAAGTTCTTGAAGTCATTCCATTGTAACAGACTAGGTGCTTTTTCTTGAGCCATGTATTTTTTTCCATCATAATTTTCATTTGACGTGTCGGTATTGCTTGACACGGTATATACTATATACAAATGTGTGAATTGGCTTTCAACCTGAAACATACAACCGTTTTAGAATGCATGTTAAGCAAATGTAAGGCTTAATTCTAAATAATTTTAATAGTTAAGTACTACATTATGTTATTAATACCTAGATTTTATTTTTTTAATACATT